CTCAGAGTACTTTCTCAGAGTACTTTTCTCAGAGTACTCATCCCAGAGTACTCTCACTTTTACACCTGTTCAATAAAGCTTGTTATCTTTGAATCTCTAGTACTTACACCGTATGCTGTTGACAAAAAATAATTATTCCATGATCACATTAAAACATTACAGAAAACATTTGTTATTCCATGATCCGTTCAGCACTCCTCGTTCACTCCTCATTTCACACCACACTCGCATCACACTCACACAGGCCGACTCCCCACGTTAGTATATTGGTCCAGAGTTTGTTAAGGTCAACGTAGTGTACTTGACATGACGCACAAACATATAACATACACAAACATATAACACACACAAACATATAGCACACACAAACATATAACACACACAAACATATAGCACACACAAACATATAACACAGGAGGCCTGTAATTTTAACTTTGTTATATTCTTCCATGTCCAATTACAATTGTCTCATGAGCTATTTCTCTTGTTGCAACTTTCAGAGCCTGCAGAACATGCAGAGCTTTAAGAGATTTTTCTTAAAAGGATCCATTTCAAACTTTTAGTGTTTAAACCACGTGGTCTGTACTCGGGCTTGTCACAAACTGTGTCCCCTATATTTTTAATGAGCTCTTGTTACTTAAAAAAAAACTCATGCACGTGCAATAAATGTTTTTCCCTTCTTTTTTTAAAGCCAGTTCGGATTCCTTAAAAATGTAAATTAGTTTCAAACTTTAATACTTCACCTTTGTTTCACGTTCATGTGGAGAAAAGACCATTGTTTTATGTGTGTGTACTTGCACCAATCATGTCTCAGATAAACTGCCAACAGTTGTATCAAAGACATAATTGTCCTAATTGTTTCTAATTTAGCTATTTGGAAGAGAAACATGTCATAAAAGATTTCATAAAATGTCCCTACATCCGTGTTTTCAACCAATGAACAGTGTTGCGTCAATGTGTTATCAGAAATGATCCAATATCACCTTTTAGCCAAAATTTAGAAATGCTTTAAATCATTTTTCAAACTTTAATTGTCTGAACAAACCATTTTGTACTAAATGCAGCGTCCATTAAAAGCTGCAGTTCTCTTTCTAGCACCAGTATCAACTGTGCATGTGACTGTTCTTAAATGATTAACGAGCCACGGTTCAGAGGTTGAAAACACTGCTTTAAATATCCGTATTACCAAGATCATGCAGTCAAAATCAATAATTCTAAACTTCTCCGCGTCTATAACTTTAAATAATAATAATAATACTAGTTTCAATAATAGAGCTCCTCTACCTTAAATATACTGCTGTTCTAATCTCCTTGTGTCTCATGCTAAAGAGTCGAATTAATTTTAACGATTGTCCTGTATTCTTTCATGCAGCTAAATGTGGTGTTATGAACGAATGACCTAGCTAAATGTGTAAATATGACTTAATATGTCTCTGTGCGTTTGTTGCCTGTCTGTATATTTACCTTCTGTCTGTCTCATTTGCCCGGCCACGTCCTCCTCAAATGTCTGTTAATTGTCTCTTTATTTTACTCATGGCGTCTTTCAATGTCTTTTGTCTCAAAGTGTTCAATGTCTTTGTCTCAAAGTGTCCAATGTCTTTGCCTCAATGCCTTTTTTCTTCTTCTTTCAACAATCACTTTCTTTCTTCTTCCGATAACTCTTTCTCACAATGTCTTTCTTCTTCTTTCAACAATCACTTTCTTTCTTCTTCCGATAACTTTTCCTCATAATGTCTTTCTTCTTCTTTCATATCTGACGCACCCAAATGTGTCGTGTCCTTCTTCTTCTTGTTTGGTTTTCCGGCGGTCGGCGGCCTATTTTTCGCATTACCGCCACCTTCTGTTCCGCAGATGGGACAACACTCAGTTTGTGAACAAGTCTGCGGTTTTTTCTTTGGCCCAGTCCCAATACCCACACTGCACCCTACGCCCTTCTATGAAGTGTGCATTTGTTTGAAGTGCGCGCAAGGGTTGGAGTGCGCAGGTTACAAGTGTGCAAAAAAGGCAGAATTGGGACAGTGCACAGTGAGTGCAGGTTACGTCATCGACTCGTCAAGAGATAGTCATTTTCAGACCTAAACTTTATAAACATTAAAGGTAACTTTGTCTGACCCTTTGGGAAACAAATTGAATTGCTTCACACATGTTAAAATGCATGTATATTAGTTGTTTTTAATTAGAGATAGCTGTATAATTTTAAGTTAAAAGTGGGTAACTAACTATCTGGTCAGTTTTTATACATTCTAAGATTATTGTACTAAGAGTAAAGTTTAAATTGAATGTTATATAAACGCTTGGTTTAAAAAGTTATTAAATTGTTAAAACACAATGTCCGTAATTCTTCATCAGACGTTTATGCTTCTTTCCAAGTAACATAGCAAAACTTATTTACACACATACTGCATATATATTTCAAAATGTATATTTAAATGCATTTTTCCGACGTTTTGGTGTGTACCGCAAAGAATTATGGGCAATATCCTTCGCCAGAGTGCGCATAGATGCAGGCTACGGCGAAGTGTGGATCAGGGGCGCAAAGGGGGACCTCCCTGGAGAATTGGGACACCCTACGCACTCGCACCCTTTATCGGGAACGCGCAAATGAGGGGCGCAAGGGTGGAAGTGCGAGTATTGGGACGGGGCCTTTGTCAATGCTGTTAGAAATGGGGCTGGAGGAGTCTTCTTCGAGAGTTCCTGTTAGCTGCTGCAGCCGATGCTGCTGTCTTTGCTGCCCCCTGTGGGTCTGGGGAGGTCTTGTGGCAGACGATTTTGGCCAATGAAACAGACAGAAGTTTTCTCAGGAAAAACAGACAAACAAGAAACACAAACAAGTGTGTTAATTACCATACAAAACCAATGATTAATTACAAATCAAAATAGACCTATGAAATAATTAATATTGCATTCAACTGCTATCCTAAGCCCTATTTTTCCAAAACATGCTTTAAACATTAAATTTGAAAAAAAACCAAATCTGCATTTCAAACTGCTATCTCTAAGCCCTATTTGACAAAAAGCTTTGGTAATAATGCTCTTCATCTAACTTTTGGTAAACCAAAATGTAGTTTTTCTCACGTCAAACGACACTTTACATTTTATCCTTAAATACGTCTGTAATGGAAAACATTACCATTTGCTACCTGATCAATGTATCGAGGGTTTTTTTTTTCCTGATTCTCTGTAACTATCAAAACATTACATCACAATACAAGAGAAAAACTCCCAGACTGATCTTTTGTCATTTCTTCACATGAAACTCGTATACTACAGCCAAGTGGCTCTCTTTTTTTCTCATTAATCAGATCGTTAGTATCAGAATCCACATTTTAAATACTTGGCTTTTTTCTGTTTAAATTAATTGTACCCTTTTCCCGCCCCCCGGGGGATATGGAGTTTTTATTATCCTATAACTTCTGACCCTAACTGTCCCTATTTTCTAATCCTATTTCTCTAAACACTTGTGCCTCTTTTGCACTTATAAATCCTGTGGCTCTTTTCCCGTATATTCTTTTTTAGAGAGAGACCAGCATCCCTCAAGGTTCAAAAACGTCGAAAAACCTGACTATTGTTCTATCGCGTCCGATAGAATCGCCCATCACGGCGGTCTTGTCCACACTGCAATCTGTCGAGCCAAAATCTCTCTCTCTTCTATTTAAAACAATGTGCAGATTTTCAAAACTGTGATCCGCTTACCTTAGAAGCGACCTTTTTGAAGAGCAGAGAGATTTTTCCAAACCCACAAATCCAGTCTCTATAACTGAGCTCATCTCTGTCTTGCCCCTGCACCATCACGTCGGGGGTCTCCAAATGAAGTCAATAATTCCCTTGACTGACGTGTTCGAGTTGATGCAGAGGCATGACAACAGATCTCCAAGTTTAACATCTGCATTTAATTATCTTTACAATCAGATACAGAATATTCAACAAAGAGGGCTCCTAAAACTATGCATGTCCCTCTCTGGCCCTCGGCTGATTCTTCTGTTTCTGCCCAAGCCAGAGCCTTATCAGTCGATGTTCAGGGAGCAGGGGGCGTGTCGTATCAGGGAGGTCTTGGGCCCAGGGTCCGATGACGTCACAGGTCTGGGACTGGTCTGGCCCCTGGTCCTGGTCTGGACCCGGTCTTGGTCTTCCATCTCCACCTGAGCAAACAATGGCCCCCCCCCTGCGGCGCCTGATTGTGTTGGACTTTGCTCTCGCCCAAAGTGAGAGAGAGAGCCCTGCTTATACTTGGAGTCAATAATTGTCTAGTTTGTATACTATCTTGTGTCCTTGGGGTTTTTCCTGAGTGCACAGAGGTCTTTTTTGGCTATGATGTCCAAATGGTCAAATATTAAAATATACAACATTTTAATTATACAACAGGCTAAATCTGGACAGATGAGTAAGTAAAAGAAAGTGACAAAGACAGCATCGACGCCCCTAATACAATTTCTCTTATTAAAGCTGGATACTGGAGTCATTTTCAAACCTCAAACAAATCCCTTGAAAATAATAAGAAAAACATATATGAAAATAAGTAAAATACTGCTTAAAATAATAAAAATGATCTGCAATGGAACAAGAAAATATGACTGGACAAGAATTTTTGAAATAAGAAAATAATACTTGCCCCAAATGACTCGGTTCTACATTAAAAACATACATTTCAAGAAAAGTTAAGTTGAAGTAACAAAAAATACTTAAAAACTCACTGCTCATACTTTTTTCTAAAATAAGATTATGTAGTATTATTATCTTAAAACTAGTAAAATAATCTTACACAACAAACTACATTCAAGAAAAATATACTTACCATTAAAATATAAGCCTAATTTATGTTATTTGTTCCAAATAAATCTTACCAAGATGTAACTTTTTTTCAGTGATATGAGCTAAAATCCCTCAAAACATCACTAGTTTTCAGATGTGCTTTTGCCTCGGATCAGTTTTTCAGACAGAAAAGTGAAGAGAGTCTGACTCAGACCAAAGAGGAGGTTCTCACGGGTTTGTGTTTGTGACAGGAGTGCTCCGACCGCTGCTGCAACGCCTCCTCCTGCTCCTTCAGCGAGGGCTCCCAGTGTGCGGAGGGAGAGTGCTGCCAGGACTGCAAGGTGAGGAGGAGGAGGAGGGAGGAGGAGGAGGAGGAGGGAGGAGGAGGAGGAGGGAGGAGGAGGAGGGAGGAGGAGGAGGAGGGAGGAGGAGGAGGAGGAGGGGGAGTGCTGTCAGGACTGCAAGGTGAGGAGGAGGATGGAGGAGGAGGGGGAGTGCTATCAGGACTGCAAGGTGAGGGGGGGGGGGGGGGAGGAGGAGGAGGAGAAGGAGGAGGAGGAGGGGGAGTGCTGTCAGGACTGCAAGGTGAGGAGGAGGAGGGAGGAGGAGGAGGAGGAGGGAGGAGTGCTGTCAGGATTGCAAAATGAGGGGGAGTAGGGAGGAGGAGGAGGAGGGAGGAGGAGAAGGGAGGAAGAGGGAGGAGGGGGAGGGATGGGGAGGAGGAGGGGGAGTGCTGTCAGGACTGCAAGGTGAGGGGGCGGTCCTGTTCAGGTCCTGTGAGTGTGTTCTTAAGATGTTTGTGTGTCTGTTGTTTTTATGTCTGTTGTGTGTCTGTTGCGTGTGTCAGGTCCTGGGTCGGTCCCGTCAGTGCCGGCCGCAGCAGGACGAGTGTGACCTGCCTGAGTTCTGTGATGGCAAGAGTGCGTTCTGTCCTGAGGATGTGTTTAGCGCCAACGGAGCTCCGTGCGACAGCGCTCGAGGATTCTGCTTCAACGGACAGTGTCCCCAGAGACTGAGCCAGTGCAACAACATGTACGGCCCAGGTACATGTGCAACAATGTGCAATACAGATTCAGTTTATTTGCCATTTGCAGTACAAAACACCACATTGGAATACATTAGCAAAAAGTCTCCAGTGTGCACAGACAAATACAGACATAAAACAACATTAAAAGACAGAAATAAAACAAATAAAACAGTAAACAAATGTCACTGTGAAATCGATCGACTAAAACAGTTTCAAAACAAGTGCAAATCATTAAAGTGCTCTGTTCACACTGATAACAACTTGTGGATCAAAACTGTTAGCGTAACGAGATGTCCTGGATCTCAGAGAGCGATATCTTCGGCCAGAGGGAAGAAGCTGGAACATGGCTTTTCCAGGGTGGCCAGAGGAGTATACAGAAACACATGTGTCACCTGTCACCTTGTGCAGACGTAAACATACAAATAAATAGTACTCAATAATAATAATAATAATAATAATAATAATAATAATACACAATCATAATCATAATCATGCATTGGTTTTATACAGCGCTTTTCAGGACATTCAAAGAAGCTTCACGTCATTATTCTTTCACTCCTTACACAGTGGTCATAAACTATTAAATGTAGCCACAGCTGCCCTGGGGCTCACTGACAGAAGCGAGGCAACCAGTATGTGCCATTGGCCCCTCCGACCACCACTAACCATTCACACACACACCAGATGCTTTCTGGGCAATGTGGGTGAAATGTCTTGCCTAAGGACACAACGGCAGTTTTGCACTTTACAGACGCAGCTGCCCCACTGTGGCACCTGGTGTTCCCAGAGGTTTCCCATCACAGTATTACCAGGCCCTGCTTTGGGTGACCTTGGTCTGTAAAATGTGCTATATAGATAAACATTACTTACTTACTTAAGTGTGCTAAAGTGTTGTTTTTGTATATAATTGACCAATCCGATGCCTTTATTTGCGGGGAAGCTCCAGCTTGCCTTAGCAACCGTCTTAGCAACACGTCAGCTTCGTGCCATAACAGGGGCAAACGCCACAGATCAAAGTGACTTCTTCCACATTGAAGCTCACACTGTGGTAATGTCACACTGTGGTGATGTCACACTGTGGTGATGTCACACTCAGTCCTGTCCTAAAATGCGCTCTGTGGTTCCAGAAGCCATCGAGGGCCGAGCGAGCTGCTTCCAGTACAACACGGCGGGAAAGTACTACGGCTACTGCAGACGGCCCACGAGTGACCAGTACATCGCCTGCTCCAAACAGTCCGTCTGCAGCTGAAGCCTCCTCCAGTCCAACCAGTGTCACATTTTCACTTTCACTTTCACAGGGACATCTACTGTGGGAAGCTCTTCTGCCACTACGGAAAGGACTCTCCCACGTACGGAGGAAGGCTGAGAATCGGAGACTGCAAAGCTGCGTACTTCAGTGACGTCACCAAAGATTACGGACAAGTCCAAACTGGAACCAAGTGCGGAGAGGGAAAGGTACAGCAGCAGTAGCAGTAGCAGTAGCAACAGTGGCAGCAGTAGCATTATTATCAGCAGCAGCAGCAGTAGCAGCAGTGTGGTAGCAGTAGCAGCAGTAGTGGCAGCGGCAGCAGTCGCAGCAGTAGTGGCAGTAGCAGCAGTAGTGGTGGCAGCAGCAGCAGCAGTAGCAGTAGTAGTGGTGGCAGCAGCAACAGCAGTAGCAGCAGTAGTGGCAGCAGTAGCAGCAGCAGTAGCAGCAGCAGTAGCAGCAGTAGTGGCAGCAGCAGCAGTAGCAGCAGTAGTGGCAGCAGCAGCAGTAGCAGCAGTAGTGGCAGCAGCAGCAGCAGTAGTAGTATCAGCAGTAGTGGCAGCAGCAGTAGTGGCAGCAGCAGCAGCAGTAGTAGTATCAGCAGTAGTGGCAGCAGCAGTAGCAGCAGCAGTAGTGGCAGCAGCAGCAGCAGTAGTAGTATCAGCAGTAGTGGCAGCAGCAGTAGCAGCAGCAGTAGTGGCAGCAGCAGCAGCAGTAGTAGTATCAGCAGTAGTAGCAGTAGCAGCAGCAGGAGTAGGAGTTGTATCAGCAGTAGTAGCAGCAGCACTCTAGATCTCCACACCTCCTGGTCCCTACTGCCTCCCCCTCTCTCCTGCTCCTGGTCCCTACTGCCTCCTCTCTCCTGCTCCTGGTCCCTACTGCCTCCTCTCTCCTGCTCCTGGTCCCTACTGCCTCCCCCTCTCTCCTGCTCCTGGTCCCTACTGCCTCCCCCTCTCTCCTGCTCCTGGTCCCTACTGCCTCCTCCTCTCTCCTGCTCCTGGTCCCTACTGCCTCCTCCTCTCTCCTGCTCCTGGTCCCTACTGCCTCCCCCTCTCTCCTGCTCCTGGTCCCTACTGCCTCCCCCTCTCTCCTGCTCCTGGTCCCTACTGCCTCCTCCTCTCTCCTGCTCCTGGTCCCTACTGCCTCCTCCTCTCTCCTGCTCCTGGTCCCTACTGCCTCCTCTCTCCTGCTCCTGGTCCCTACTGCCTCCCCCTCTCTCCTGCTCCTGGTCCCTACTGCCTCCTCCTCTCTCCTGCTCCTGGTCCCTCCTGATTTTGTGTGAATAAAGTTATTAATTAAATGGAAAATAGTTTTTGTAAAATCATCGCTCCAATCAAACCTGCTCCAAAGGTTTTTTTTTTTTTTTTTTTTACAATTCTTCATGTTCGGCTAAAGTATTATTGATGAAACACTGAAGTTAGGTCGCCCAGCTTTAATCAGCTCGTGATAATCTCTGAGGTTTTCATTTCAGCAACACAAGGACGTCCTGACAATGTGTTTATAGTGTTGCTGTTTGATTGACAGGTGTGTAGCCAGGGCCAGTGCATGGACCTGAGGATGGCGTACAAGACCTCGGACTGCTCCGCCCAGTGTCCAGGACGCTCCGTCAGTACACACACATATATACACATATACACACATATACATACATATTCATACACACATATATACACACATACACACATATTCATACACACATATATACACACATACACACATATTCATACACACATATTCATACACACATATATACACATACACATATACACATACACTTATACGGACACATACACATACGCACACGTGCACACATATACACACTCACATACACATACACATGTACATATACACACACATATACACATACACATATACACACACACATATACACACACATATACGCACACATACACATGTGCATGTGCATGAATGCACACATACACATACACACACGTACATGCATATATACACCCACATACAAACGCACATACATGCACATGAATGCACACACACACACACATACAGTACATATGCACACACAATCAAATACTCTGTACATAGTCTGAATAGTGTGTGATGTGTGTGTTGTAGGTGTGTAACCACTTGGGGGAGTGTCAGTGCGAGCCCGGCTGGCTACCTCCACACTGCGACAAAGAGGACAAAGACTTCAGCTCAGTCACAGCCCAGAGTCTGAGTCCAGGTCTGTCAACTTTACAACCATAAATATACAGTGTATTTGAGAGAGATTTTATTTACAATCACGCATTTGATCGGTTCACTCCAGCACACATGCACATTCTCTCTGTAACGTACATGTTTTTTATTAATTTATTTATTACAGGGACAGTGCATATTAATGAACATTTCTGCTACCATTAGCAAGCGGCTATTTTCCATCTGTAGTCCCATGTCTCCTGAAAGATAAAAACATGTTTGCTACACAGACAGTTAAAATAATGTGAGCTATTTTACAATATTTAAAAGAAAACACATCAATCTGTCAGGGATGAAGCAGACAGAGACGGACCATGGTGCGCCAAACTCTGGAAGTTTATTTTAGTTTCTCTCAAGTTCCAGTGATTTCCCTTGTTTCTTTCTCTCAGACAGAATAAAGGCAGTACACAGTTTATATAGTCATTGTCACGTCACACATGGAAAGACGTACGTGTCACACAGAGACAGTCTGTCAAAATAATCAGAGTCCTTGTACAGTCCTGCACGTAGGCCATATTGCTATCTAATACTAACACTCACCCCTTTGATCACATAATCACATGTGATCACTCAATTTGATCAATCAATAAAGTGGAAAAAGAAAAATATATATATATTCTACAAAAAAACTTTAAAAAATATTAAAAAACAAAGAAAATGTATGCATTAAACTCATAATCATTAAAATCAATATCAGTGAATTTTATCCTCTATCCTGGGGAACAAAAAAACAAAAATAAACAAATAAACAAAAAACAAAAACAAATCAAAAATAAAAACAAACAAACACTATTGGACACATAAGAACTCAGCAGATTCAGTCAAAACACAGACAAAAACGAGCTGAGTCTCAAATTAGAAGCTAATTTCACTTTTATTACTCTATACTTTTATTCTAATGTCAATTGTTTACACTTCACTTATTTCACTGTATTATTATCACTTTTTAATCTTAGACTGTGTACTTTACTTTCATGATTCACTATAGTTTAAAACTATTCTAATCTATTTACAAATATGTTTGCATATTTGCTTTTATTGAGCCATATTCTTAAACATATATTTTAATCTAATAAATCTCTCTGTACTTTATTTTCATTATCAGTGGCTTTGTGCCGGTGGGATTTTGCTCTATGTGGAACTATTCTACATTCTCAGGAATAAAACTGTGAACACAGTAAGACAAATGGTTAATATGAACATTATTATGGCGGTCAGTTTTCCAAATATATTTGTTGAACCAGGAAGTGCTGTCACTTCCTCCTCTCAGGAAGTTTTTATACTCAAATTAGTATTATTCTTACAAGAGCTAATCTATTTTAGCAGGTTTGGGGTTGGGGTCAGTTATTCTACAATGGTGTTTGATTCTCTAATCTGTGCTGGCAAATCGACAGTGGGCTATACCCAAATGCATCAAAATGCTTTTAAATGTAATCTATCTCATTAATCTAGGCATTAATCTCGGCTACACTCAAACTTTTTGCATTGTCAACATTCACAGATGTTTGAACACAAGTGAATTTGACAAGTATTTAATAAAACTGTACATAACACTGTAATTAACTTTATCTACTTTTGAAGTAAATGTTTGTGAAATGGTCCCTTTACTGTTTGATATTAGCTCTGGCTAGAAATATTCTCTATTTTTGAAAGCATCTATGGTTGACGCATTTATCTATTTCTATTTCTCTATTGTGACTCTAAAGCTTGGTTGCAGCTTGAGCCAAGTCATATTTCTAGTTTGTGACTTCTGTCACTTTCAACATCTACTAAAACGCTACAATACTCATACTTTATCATTTTAACACATTTTAACAGTTGCTCAGTCTCCCAGACTAAAAAGTCAAAGTTTTTGTCTATCAGATGTCTGAATACTTTACATGTATTGCATTTGTCACAGTTGTGGTTCTGGTTGTAGCAATAGCATCGGCAATAGACGATTTTTCATTGGCTGGTTCTTGTTCGCAAATGTCTGTGTCCAATAGATCACCAGATGTCCAGAAGCTAGGGACAAACAAAAACAAAAGAAAGAATCATGAGTATCTCTCTCATTTAGCACTCATCAATGTATGATTTTAAAAATATAAACATCACTCCCCAGTTTTTTCTCTCTCAGATCCTCAGGTCCTCAGGGTCCCCTGAGGGTGAGGTTAGGTCTCAGTCGTCATCAGGTCAGGTCATATTTCGAGAGATGTCATCTTGGACATCAGTAGGGTCCAAGCCATGGTTTTGGTCTCTCCAGATGCACATCAGGATCTCCAGATACAGTCTTTTCACTTGAAGCACATCAGGTCATTTGCGATGCACTTCTGGTCAATGGTGCAGTGTCTCAGTTCCTGTACACAGCTTGTTATGCAATAGTTACTTTCTATGGTTAAGTCATTTTGATTCTACTTTAAAGACAATTTCTATTCATGCTGTTGCTAATGTCCCTCAGAGAAAAGCAAGCGCAATGATTCAGTTCACTTCTCTAATTTGTGTTTTTATCAGATCAAATCCTAATCAATGTAATTACGTCACACAGTACAAAATCCACAAATCAAAACAAAAAATGTCAAGACAGGCCAATTAAGTCCATGACAATATTGAATTCAAATGAACATTTCTGGTCTCAAAAAATACTGATTCAAATAAAGATTCAAGTTATAGACAATTAAAAATATTTGTTTACATTGGAGTAAACTTTTAATGCTTATTTCTCATGTTCTGCTTTTTCATGTATCTATATGTAAATGTGAATGTGTGAGTGTATGATTGTGTGTGTGTGTGTAGGGTGTGAATTTTGGGGTTGTGTCTCCAGACTCCTCGAACCACCTGTAGGTGTCAAAGGTCATACTGTGGTGATGTAAACCAACTGGACACACTCTCAACTCTCATCCAGGTCTCTCCCTGATGCTCCACCCATCACATCTCCAGAAACCTCTCACTACGTACCACCTCCTTGCCCTTCCCAGTGGCGTGGGGAGGGGCAAGGAGGTGGCATTTTCCTTTGCTCTTTGATCTGTGACCTGTGCCTGGGTGGGCTTTGCTGGGCTCCTGTGGTCTGAGCCCTCAGTGTCCACTCCATAATCAGTCCAGTGACCCTGTACAGCCTTGGTTCTGGAACACAACCTTATAGTCAAATTCAAAACAACAGATATCAGTATGTGAATGAGATTGTTTTTCTCTCTAAAGTCTAAACAATTTTGGAGCGCTCTGGGTTGTTCAACATGCGCTATATAAATAAAGATTACTTATTATCTTACTAATGATGACATTTTAAGACCAGAAACTCTCTTAATAAAAAACAAGACTCAAATCTCAAAAAACCTTCAAACTTTAAAATATGTATTTTGTACTTTTGTACTGTGTGTTTAATTATCTATGCTTCCTTGGGTTTCACTTTATGGACTTTTCCTTTTACACTTGAACATTTATCTCAGCATATATTCTACTAAAAATAATTGCAGCCTTTTCAAATGAAGTCAATATGAATTGGAGCACATTTCATAGCAGTCTCCTCTGCTGCGGAGCAAGGTCAGGTGCATAGTCAAAACAAAAAAGTCACTGCTTGCAATGTGAATTGGGTGAATTGGGTAGAGTTTAACTTAATAGTATAATACTTTTACAGCTAATCCTAATTCCCTCTTTCTTTTTAGACGAAGTCTATGATCAATAATCACTTTTAACACAGATTCTAATTTAAATGTTTGAAAAACGGCTTTTGTAACTAAAATAAAAAAAATACATGAAAAAAATTCTCACAAACAGCTGTGAAATATATCAGAGATACAATAATGGACTCAAAAAATAAGCAGCAGATTTAGTTTAAGTTTAGATTAAGTTTTTTTTTTTTTAACTAATCTTTGGATTTAGAAAAAACATAATAATTCAAAACTTCTATTCCCTAAATTTGTTTAAAAACGTTTAACTGTGTCATAACACAATGTTCAATCGCAAATTTAGCAAATTAAAAAACTTAATAAAAGCCAAAATCCTAAAAGCAGGTTTGTTCTGATGCAGAGCCGGAGTAGCGAAGGAGGGGGCCGTTTCCCCTGACAACGGCAGCAAGATAGAGATGTGCACACACACAGGCAGAAAGTAGTGTTTTAGAAAAAATGCAAAAACAGAAAGAAGAACTTTCAAGATTACTTTTTTAAGCGAATATAACTGATGTTGTAGTTTATACTTTTGTCATCCAAATATAGAAATGGCCACTTTCCACACTAGTAACAAAAGGCACTCTTAGTGTTTAACGTTTCCTTCTATTTTATTGAGGTTGCGAACTAGTTTAAACTCAAAATCTCTTTCTACAAAACAAAAACAAAAAACAACTGTTGGATACAACCCTCTCATAGCTCAACTGTAGATAAAACTCGGCAAAAAATGTAAATAACTCACGAAAGCTAAGAGCTCAACTGTAGATAAAACTCTGCAATCTCCGGTGAACTCTGTTCACGCCGAAAACAAACTAAAAAACAAAAACTCCCTTTTTTTGTATGTAATTTAAACCGTGATCACTGAAATATTGTTGCTTCTTTACTTTTGTCATTTATCAGCCTGAAATTTGTCAATTTCAAAGCTTTTGTAACAAAGGTCTCTTTAACACATTTCCCTTTTTATTGCTTTTATGGTTACACCATGGTTTCACTAAGGATTATGGCCAACACTTTATGGATCCTATACACTTTATGGCCTTTACACTTATGGATCCTATACACTTTATTTGAACACAATTTAGAGAGTTCGACAGACCTCAAAAACAGACCAAAATTTAGCTAGTATCCAATTATGCAGACTTTACATATAAAAAGGTGTCTGCTTACCTTATTCTTGTCAAACCGGTTCCAAGGACTGTCCAAGAGGTCTGCCAACTCTTTTCCGCGTCGGAAAATTCAATTTAAAAAACAAAAGTGACAGAAGCGACAAGAAGCATCCAGGAACAGCTCTTCCAGTCTGCTGGAATCTCCGCTCCCAGACGCAGCATGCCGATCTCTCACGCAGAGGAAAAGAAAACAAAGGAAACTCCCTCAAAACAACCAGAGAATGGCACACACTGAGCCGCTCACTCTCCACCAAATCTGTCAGGATTTAAGCAGACAGAGACGGATCGTGGTGCGCCAAACTCTGGAAGTTTATTTAAGTTTCTCTCAAGTTCCAGTGGTTTCCTTTGTTTCTTTCTCTCAGACAGAATAAAGGCAGTACACAGTTTATATAGTCATTGTCACATCACACATGGAAAGACGTGCGTGTCACACAGAGACAGTCATAGTCATCATAGTCAAAATAATCAGAGTCATAATCAGAGTCCTTGTACAGGCCTGCATGTAGGCCATATTGCTATCTAATACTAACAAATCAACAAACTACACGCAATCATAAGGACACACACAGAGAACACACACAGGCGCACGCAGAGCAAGAGACCAGTAGGGGGCAGCAGTATGGTATGGAGTAGTTTGCTTTTGTGTGAAACAGTAAAGGTAGAATGTGGATTTCTTCTCCTCAGGTGCAATCTTCGGGATCTCCGCAGCTGTGATCGTCGCTGTGTGCGCTGTCATTACTGGAGTTTTTTTCCTTTTGAAGAAAAAGCAAAACTCTGGATAGCCGACATAAGTCTTGCAGCCACACAGGCCCCCAGAAAAGACCTGCCACACTGCCCACATATTCAGGTGGTAGCAGCAGGGTCGGCACTAGATCATAAACGGAATCGGGACGAAAGCGGAAGTAAATATAACCAACTACCTAAACTAGTAGATCCATGCCTAAACTTAACCAGCCATTCTCAAAGAATAACCCCAACCCAGCCTTAGCCCTAACCTTAACCATCTCACTCAGAGACCTATAACTTAACCAGTCACCACTAAAGGACTTTAGTCTAAAACTAATTCGAAAGTGGAATTGTAACTTTTGTTTTTGTCCCAATTCCATAAATGAACCAATGCCAACTGTAGCAACAGCAGCAGCAGTTGTTGTGGTTCTTCTGAAGATAAGCATGGCAGGGCCTGGGTAGAAGTGTGATGAGAGATCTGAGGGAACACCTGGGGCCAGTAGGGCAGCTGTGGCTACAGTTTATCACCACTATGTATGAAGATTTTTGAAAACAAACCATTTGTGTGATTATTAATGAGTTGGAGGACACCTGCTTTTGCATAATTTGCATATTATAATGTAAAAAAAGAATGGTTCCCACACATTACTGTCCATGCAAAAAAGATATTTTTTTGGGAATATGTTACGTTTTGGTCTGGAGATCTTTGTGTAAAATGTTTTTTTAATTGTGTTAAAAGCTCTCCTAGGAACGGACATTTCGAATTAGCCTTGGTTATAAATGTTGTAGTGTTTGTGTTTGATTGTGTACACTTGTCTCTATCAAAAAATCAATAAATACAAATTAAGGGTCTGAGAAAAATAAATACTATTAAAAAAGATGTTTTATTAGCAGCAGTAGCAGTAAAATATAAATAATACATGATTTTGCCGCTCCACAACTGCTGTAGCACTGCCACCTCCTGGACATCATTAGAAACTGCATATTTTTTATACACAAATGATTTTATTTCTTGGAATTAAATTGGACACTGTATTGTTGGTTTAAAAAAATAACAAAAACAAAAGGTACAGCCCAATAGGGAAACATTGGGAACTGCACTGGAACAAAACCCATACCACAATAAAATGACTCCACACATTCAATTAAAACACTGTAGATCATTTTTATTCCTTCAAGTGATACATCTAGAGCTCATGGCGTCGCATGACAAACACAGTTCAACTCTTGTTCACAACTAAAAACAATAACAATACATTCATAAAGAAGAGTCTCCAGGATGGCACGGAGACAGAGTCAGTACCAAAAGTGTTCAACTGGCAAATGTTCAAACTTGGGCAAATTTAAAACAGGTTTTGAGCAAATGTTTTAAGAAAATAATAAATGAACATAGATCGACAGTTAAAGGAGACGTTTGACACTTCTGCAATGTTACTGGTAATTATTCAAGAGATGTGTGTTTATTTAACTGAGCGATGGTTTCCTTGATGCCAAAGTGCCTGTGCCTTTGTTCCTGCATAAATCACCTTTCACAGAGTCACAAAGCGCTTTACATTTGTCTCTCACTCCACACACAGACGTCAGATGGAAACGGGAGCCTTTGGACAGAGGCAGAGAACCAACACGACCATTTGCATGTGTCTCAGAGCTCTTAATTTACAATAAAAGTTTAGACATGATTTAATCTCCAAAAGATTAAATTATAACTAAATATACTGCCCCGGCTGGTTCACGTTATGCCCCTCCCCTCTCTTCAATGTGCAGCCAAAACAAAAAAACTCAGTTATAAGTTAAACTCATATACAGTAGTTTTAGATCATACAGTGCCAGTAGTAGTATAGTTGTAGAAGTAGTAGTTGTAGTAGTAGTAAAAATGTCCTCTCTCTGGCGCTCTTGGCCTAAAGTTTGATTGTGTGCGATTATGAGAATATGGGAAATGAACACTATACAAATACATAAGTTATAAAACTGTATAAATGTTCACTTTCTAAAAGCGGTGGAGCTGCCAGAGTACGCCACCTACTGGCTGTGCTCCACGTATTTCCTGTTTTAAAAAGTACTTTCCATATGAATGGAAAGGGCGCTCTAACCAAATTCAAACACTCGCATTGCTATAAAAGCCGTAGGGTCCAAAGAACTTGAAAAACTAGCAATTTATGGCCCTGCGCTTACTGTAATCAAACCCCGTTTTGATTCATGTCTAAAAAATACATTTTGGAATTAATTCAAATAAATACATACACAGTAATCTGTGGCTCTCCCTGACTTAGAAAAGTAAAAAATGCACAAAACAAAGTCACCTTTCTGAGAGATTGTATAACACCGCATCAGCAAACAAAAACTCAAAATGTTTGAACATGTTTTAAAAATTATTAAATTAATTTAAAGTAGCAATATGTAAGATTTTCATGTTAAAATCATTATTAAATGGCCCTAATCTGTCCAAAGGCATTAATCAGGGTTGCCAGAACTCACCGCGTCGAGCTAATCTCACTGGTGAAGTAACATGTGGCCGCAGAACTAAAAAAAGGTCTCCTTATGATTCTCAAATTATTAATGACTAAACTCTTGAGTCAGGGAGATTGCAACTTTTGGCCAGATTTTTACACACTGCTCCTTTAACATTAATTTGTTTCGGCAGCTCTCTCTCCTCTCCGTACATACTCTGTGCCGAGTTCATAAATCGACTACATTTTTGTTTTTGGAGCCGACTTTTTTTGTGTGTTATTTATTTTTGTACGTTTTTAATTGTGAGGCGCTTTGTGAACCTGGTCTGTGAAAGGAGCTATGAAAATAACCTAACTTAGATACTCCACAGAGCAGATACATGAAGCTGCCGCGTGCACTTCCACTGCAGGAAATGTCAATGATGCACACGGTCCGAGCACCAGTTTGAGTCTTTAAAGGGTTTTTCAGCTTTTTCAGAGAAACGACTAAATAAATACATGTATATTCAGACCTATTGCACCAAAATAATGATGAAACACCTTCAAACCAGTGACAGTTCCTGGCTCTACCGAGATACGGATACAAAGATGGAGCAACATGTTGATGAAAACCTGGATTCAAGTCTTTTTACAGAGTTTTTATAGTGACAAATTCAAACCCAAAACGTGTGCGCTGTAAACAATATCCTTACAGATATTTTTTCAATCTCTTCTCACTGTCAACATTTAGTGACTTTTCAATAAAATACCGTAATTCTCGTTCTTTATGACGCTGCTTTTGTCATGTGTTTTGAACCTGGCAGCTAACATAGAGCGCCCTCTGGAGGCACAGAAGCTAACGGCTAAAGAGAGCTATTGTGAGCTAACGTGAGCTAATATTGGCCTCCTCAATGTTTCTGCTGCCATTTACCTTGACATGTAACGGTTTGTGTGGGAATGAAGACCTGCTGTGGCTGCTAAATAGTGCTCTGTAGGAATCAGGCCATGTCGTTTCTGTTGCTAAATAGTGAGCAGAGTCCAAATGTTGGCGTTCGTCATACTTACAACATGAACATCATATTTAAGGACTTCTAGAGTATATGTCAGTGGTGGGTAAATGTCTGTTCAGTATCGCGATATTTTACTGTGATATTTAATTCAAGCTTTATCTATTTAACTTTAAGGTATTGTTTTTTTAAATTACCCCTCTGTGGGACGAATACAGGAATTATCTGTTTGCTCCGGTCATTTACATTTAGTTTTTGTGACTCTAGTCTGTTGTAATTAAATAACATAAAGGAGGGGGTTGGAAGCTCACCTTTAATGTGAGAGAATGTGTCCTTGAATGTGTTTGCACAGTTTATTTGCCAACCATAATGGGATATTTGTCTTATTGTCATGAATCGCAATATATCTCAGAATTTAATGACGATACTCACTGTTTTGCGATATATTAAGAATCGCAATAATAATGAACTAGCCAAAACATCGCAATACTATCGAATTGTGACGTTTTTGCCAATTCCCACCACTAACATATGTGTAATTTTAAATATTGGTGGTCCTGTTTATACACAGATGCGTTCAAGAAGTCTGAGAATTACGCTAGTTTAATCTCAAATGGGAACCTGTGCTAAGAAAGTAGTCTATCAAACTAATTTTCATTTTGCTTTAATACTTCATCATCCACAGGTTTGAATCTCTCAACTTGTCGAGAAGTACATTTTATTCCAAAAGCAGAACAAAGTCATTGATTAAGTCCGTTTTGTGACGCTGTAAGAAGATCATATGAAGTTGTGCTGTTTCCTTTTTGTGCAGAGCTGAAAGTGAACAAAAAGCCAAATCCAAAATCGGTTCAAAAAATTATCAATTATCGTCTAATAAAACACATTTTCCCTTTATTCCCTGGATTTGGTTTCCTCCTCCAATAGCTGCCTCCTCTTTGAACCCGGGCTGCACAATAGTTACATCTCAATACTATTTTTAACAGAAATTTTATCCAACAAATATATTCCTGACCCCAGAAAGTTGCATATTTTGATTTGTAACACTTCATTTGAGGGTACATTTGTGAACATTTAAAGTTGTGTATTGTGCAACCCAGAAAATACTGAACAAAGGTTCCTCAGTAATCTTTGGAAAAGGTGAGGAATTGCTGAAAATGCTGAAAATGATAACAATGCTAACAACGCTAACAATGCTAACAATGCTAGTATGATAACTACGCTTTCCCTTTTTCGTTTAATACATGAATAATGGTACAAAGCATCGCCGAAAGCCATGTTTACAGCCAGTATCTGTAACGACACGAATCATTTTACAAAAGAAAATAAGATCGAGTGAAGTCCGTGAGAAAGTTTGAAGGATTTGACATTTTGTTTGATCTGATTGTCCTTTAGTTTGGTCATAGAGCTCAACATAAGTTATGATTCTATACTTGAATACTTTAAATGAACATTTAAATTTGGATTTTAGATTCGAACCGATTTGATGTAACAGGAAAATGTATTAACTAAAGGAGAAAAAAAATCAGAAAAATAACGGACAAAAAAGTGAATAAATTGCCTGAATAAATAAGAACACATCCGTTCACTTTACAGAAAGGTTTATAGGAGGATTTTTTTGAACAAAACTCTCTGGTCTTATTTGACGAGCACGTATCACCAGAATGATTGACAGTTAGGAGGACCAATAGTCTTGATGAACCACCCGGAAGAAGAAAATCCTCCTTTATACCTTTAAGTTCAACTGACTAAATAAAACAGTTTCTTTTTTTTTTAGGTTGAGTGCAACAATTTCTTATTATTCTATACTTTCAAACACATGTCTTGAGAAATTTCAAAATTTGATTCAATTGTCATGTCAAGTCATCATTAAAGGGCCCTAATCTGTCAAAAGGCATTAATAAAACATGCTCTTTTCCAATACTTCTTTGACTAATAACAGAAGTTCAGAGATATTTGGATTTCAAAATCAGTTTTTCAGCCCCTAAATCTTGTTAATGTTTTCATTTCGATGTCCCGCCCAAAGATTTGTTGTTGAAAAAACTATAGTCTATTCAGCTGTTATGGTCCCGGATGGATTCGTCTGCATATCTGGCAACCTGAGTCAGGGAGAGTGGGAGAGGGTGCAGTACCACTCTTGGACTGAAAAGTGAATTTTACATACTGCTTCTTCAAGTTTTCATTTGAAGATTGGAAAAATCTGTTCATGAAACCTCATTTTTGCTAAACCCAGTGAAGTCAATGATTTTCCTGAACTGACAAACAGTGCAATAAAAGTGAATAAAACGCAAAGTTTCTTCCATGTTTTCTTTTCCGATTGTTGTTATTTTAGCGTAACACTTGTTGTAAACGTGGCTTTAGACATAAGATCCTGGCCAAGTGAGGCTAAAATATAGAAAATATCTCATACATAATAAGTTACATGACAATTGAAAAACAACTAGCGTCTTAATCTAAACTTTTTTTTATAAAATGTCCCTTTACTTAATTGAACCGAATACATTTGAACAAAGCAACAACGCAACAAAGTTCTTCTAGAACACATAAAATCTAATACAACTCCTCCAATAAATATTAATTTCTTCGCCTCTTATATATAAAGTCATTTTTTTGAAAAGCAGATTTTTTTTGTCTTTTTTTGGGACATTTTTCCGTCAAAACTTCTAAGCGTGTCCGACGGCAAGTTCGTTTTTTATCCATTGAAGCGAAAAAGAAGAGAAAAGGCGGACCAGTTTGGGACGAGAGGAGAGTATAACCGGAACCGAGGAGATGTGAGATGTAGAGGTCTTTCGTAAGTGTACGTGTGGCCTCCCGTACGTGTGGCCTCCAGTACGTGTGGCCTCCAGTACGTGTGGCCTCCCGTACGTGTGGCCTCCAGTACGTGTGGCCTCCCGTACGTGTGGCCTCCAGTACGTGTGGCCTCCCGTACGTGTGGCCTCCAGTACGTGTGGCCTCCCGTACGTGTGGCCTCCAGTACGTGTGGCCTCCAGTACGTGTGGCCTCCAGTACGTGTGGCCTCCAGTACGTGTGGCCTCCAGTACGTGTGGCCTCCCGTACGTGTGGCCTCCAGTACGTGTGGCCTCCCGTACGTGTGGCCTTCCTTACATGTCTAACTCTAACAGAATGGAAATGATTAATTGGTCCCTCAACGCAATTGATTCTATCTTTTCAACTCGTAAGCGTGGGTCTGGAGAGCCCGTGTGTCCGGACGGGACTTCACCAGCGGGGTATACACTTGACAGCTGGAACAAGTGGCAGCCCCTCTGTCTGTCGACCCTGTCCATTGAAGATTCGGAAGACGTATATATCTTTGGCATTTTGGTGGCGGGAATCCTCCTGTTTGGGTTTGGAGCGATCCTCTTCTACCACAAATTCGGAGGCATGGCAGTTCGCAAGATTCACGACCTGCTGGCCGATAAAATTGATGGGGATGTACAAGGAGCTTAGCCGTGTCGTGGTTGAGAGTGCCGTGTCTGGACAACGGAGAGTGGTGTTGGTGGAACAGTTGATCAAAGACCTCGCAGCTCGTTCACTTGATGGACATAAGACCTTAGAATTGAGATTGAATGACATTGTTTGTCAGGCTTGATCTCTCTGACCCGGCTTGGATTTGCCCCTGTGTACGGAGGTCTGAGGGCACCGGAATTCGGTTTAATTGGAATTAATAGAATATCTGCCTGATTTTGACTGCGACATTGCAGGCGATGTGTTTTTCTCCTCCTGTGGCTTCTCTCTCCACTCTTATCTCACATTCCTCAGCCAAGGCCATAAACAAGGTCCCACAATCTACAACAACTCACACTATTTCAGTCTTCAGCAAGGATCCCCCACCCCCGCCTCCCTCTACCTATCCATCTTGCTCCCTCCCTCCCCTCCATTCCTTATTGTTTTCCTACTCACCCCCTCCCTGATCCCGCCCCCCTCTGACAGCTACATTGGGCCGGCCGAAGAGGTGCTCTTCCCGAGAAAAAAATCCGTGGTTTATAAAAAGCACAATGTGTCTATCCAATTGTTTGTGAACTGTATGTTATTGCTCTCTGCTGTTTCTTGCTGCACACAGCGCCGCAAATGGCGAAGTGGCACGCTCTCTGCCAAAACAATTTCCAAGTGATAACTTTGTTACTCACGTGGCAATAAAAATGATTCTGATTCTGATGTGGCCTCCCGTACGTGTGGCCTCCCGTACGTGTGGCCTCCCGTACGTGTGGCCTCCCGTACGTGTGGCCTCCAGTACGTGTGGCCTCCAGTACGTGTGGCCTCCAGTACGTGTGGCCTCCCGTACGTGTGGCCTCCCGTACGTGTGGCCTCCCGTACGTGTGGCCTCCAGTACGTGTGGCCTCCAGTACGTGTGGCCTCCCGTACGTGTGGCCTCCCGTACGTGTGGCCTCCCGTACGTGTGGCCTCCAGTACGTGTGGCCTCCAGTACGTGTGGCCTCCAGTACGTGTGGCCTCCAGTACGTGTGGCCTCCCGTACGTGTGGCCTCCCGTACGTGCTCCAGTACGTGTGGCCTCCAGTACTGTGCCTCCAGTACGTGTGGCCTCCAGTACGTGTGGCCTCCCGTACGTGTGGCCTCCCGTACGTGTGGCCTCCAGTACGTGTGGCCTCCAGTACGTGTGGCCTCCAGTACGTGTGGCCTTCCTTACATGTGGACTCCCGTACGTGTGGCCTCCAGTACGTGTGGCCTCCCGTACGTGTGGCCTCCCGTACTTGTGGCTTCCCGTACTTGTGGCTTCCCGTACTTGTGGCCCCCCGTAATTGTGGCCCCCCGTAATTGTGGCCCCCCGTACTTGTGGCCCCCCGTACTTGTGGCCCCCCGTACTTGTGGCCTTCCATACGTTTGGCCTTCCTTACGTGTGGCCTCCAGTACGTGTGGCTTCCCGTACGTGTGGCTTCCCGTACGTGTGGCTTCCCGTACGTGTGGCTTCCCGTACTTGTGGCCCCCCGTACTTGTGGCCCCCCGTACTTGTGGCCCCCCGTACTTGTGGCCCCCCGTACTTGTGGCCCCCTGTACTTGTGGCCCCCCGTACTTGTGGCCCCCCGTACTTGTGGCCCCCCGTACTTGTGGCCTCCTCTACGTGTGGCCTCCTATGCGTCTGTGCCGTTCTTGCTGGTTGAGTTGATGATGTTTGGCTCTGGCTGCTTGCCGTCCTTCCGCGGCGGCATCCTCTCGTTGATCAGGTCCAGACCGCGAGCCTCTTCGAAGTTGCGGATTTTTCTCGTTGGGGAAAAACCTTGAATAGCTGCGGGCCACACACAGAAAGATGAGGTTAATGTTGTTTTTTTTTAATTATTTTAGTAGAATGACAATCAAATGTACAGAAATAACTATAATGGTCGGGTTTTTCGGAGCTACTCAATCCAATTACATTTATATTGGTAGTTATCGCAGAGGACTTTCCAAAACTGTTTAAGTCGCCACAACAGATCAGAGAATCAAACAGTTCAAACACAAGAAATGCAATGATAAAAACACCATGTCCATGAATGTTGTTGAATGTGGATCATCACCACTGCCCCCTGCACAGAATGCTTATAAGAGGCAGAGGTGAGGAAAGTTTACGCATTGATAACTGGGGAGATTCATTCAATCGTATTTTGGCATTCCTGCAGTTTGGGTCCTTCCTTGTTTATCGCCACGTGACACGTTTAGCGTCAGTACAGATCGGTAAAAATACAATACTCCAGTCTTGAATCATGGGATTTTGTCTCCTGCACATGGAACTATATTCACGTAAAACACACAATTAAAAGAAAGTTTGGGGAAGGCGCCTTAAATATAATTGGGAAAAGTGAGGGTTAGGGTTTTAGTATTAAAAAATGTTAAATGTTAAATGTTAGCGTCTTTACAACATGAACATGGGGTTTGCATTCAATTGCTTTCCATTTATATTCAACTTTTTTTGGTGTATATAAATAGTGAGGCAATTAAACAGGGGCATTGGAACACCAGAGAAGTACGGTAAAGATGCCGTTTGTGAAGAAAAATGGAAATTATATTATAATCTACGGGAAGAAAAGCAGAGATCTTGAACTGATGACATCACGATCTAGAGACTGAATCATGCTCAACATTTTCAACAAACACTCCAATAATTGACATGATTGACATGTATTCTATTTTAATTTCTAAAACAAAACATGAGTGTGATGCCAACCTCAACCACTCGTTTGTGACTTGTGGCACAACAGAAAAAATAAATAAAAAATAACTGAGAAAAACTTGAACACATGATTCTGATGCTGTCACCAACTCAACCACGTCTTGGCAGAAGAAGTGAAAGTACTTTTAATAAATACAACGAGCAACACGGCTGAAAACCCCACAGAAGAAACTATAAACTAAATTCTATTCAGGCCTAGAGGCAGACGACAAAAAAAAAGCTAAAATCACCAGATCGGTTTTGTCTCGCGTGACATCACTGACAATAAAAACGTTGTAGAAGTCATTTTGGAAACACAATACATGTCTCCGGAGGTAAAACATTACTGCGGTCCGTAAACTCAGCTTTTTGATAGGAGACAGGTCTTTCCTTCCTGCTGCTGTCAGACTGTACAATGAGAACTGCTGAGTCTGTGTCAGTCACCTGTTCTGATAATCCACTATAGTCACGTCACCTGCTGCTATTGATACTATTGTTTATTCTGCTCATATTCTCTGCTGCTAAAGTACAAAAACACATCTGTAAAAACCTCCAGATGCTTCAGTATAAACTCCACATGTGACTTCTCCTTTAACCAAGTGCAAATATAGAGTTTTATTATTCTATTATTTCTCATCTTAAACAATAGATCCTGTTTGATCTATGCAAAACCTGAGTTTCCATATTTTCTCCTTTTATTCTGCTGCAATGTGAGACGACGACGGTGACATTTGATTTTTTTCTTAAATAAAGTGCTCCTCAGATGTAACACTTTACGACACAAACACAGACGGATGAAGGGAAAGTGGCAACAGCACAAATCACGGCACAGGATCAACACCACAGGACACTCAGAAACTTACGGTGAAGTCCAGAGAGGCCGAGGAGACAGAGAGGAGAACAAAACAAATCAACAACTTTAGCATTTTCCTTTGATGAATATAGGGGTGTCCAAACTATGGCCACATGGTTTCAAATCCTTAACGAATATGATTATAAAACTTCAGGTTTAAGGCTTTGGACGTACAACAAAGACAGAATGAAACTAAAAGGGTGTTTGAAGATGGAGGCCTGCTGTAGTTCTTTCTAGGAGTGTTATTACTCCACTTATATATGTTCTTTAGTCTTCATAACTTTTTCTGTATCTGTATGTAGTTTATTTCAATTATATTCTGTTTATGAAATTAACTCAATCCTGGACTGGTTCACAGGAATCTCAGCTAGGAGCAACTGCTAGTTACCATAGCAACGTGTTTTGCTAGCATCAGTAAGTATTTAGGTTTGCTGTATTTCATTTATATTAAACATTTTTAGAATGCATTAAAGATAAAAAATAATATGAAAAACATATATACATACATATATTAATTATTTTATATAAAACTAGTGAAAAACAAAAGCAGACTTTTCTTCAGAAAATTCCATAATTTGAGGGGGATCAAAATGACTGCTTTGGGAGTTCTAGTAGTTTCAGAATTACAAGAGTCCTATACAGTAGCTTCTGTCACACAGTCGTGACAGAAGCGATACCTCAAACTCCAGGTGCAGCGGACCCTCCGGATTAAACACACTCTTACAATCAGAGCAAGTTTTAAGAGATGGGGAAAAAGTGGAGGTAGAACTCAGGACCTTCTTGCTGAGAACCACGAGCGCTAACTGTTGTGCACCCATCTCGCCCATCTCTTTGACAAAACTAGGGCTAAGTTAAAAGAGTCGGGCAGGTTATTCTACTATATTTATGTTTATATACATAAAATACTAGTTACTGGGATAATGCATTTGTTTTATAATCTCGGTTACACCACCGGGTTACTTTTCTGTCATAAACACTATTAATATTGAGGCTAAATGTGAAATATTATCAGAACTACATAAAAAGAGCAGTCTCTCTTGTTCACTGGGACATGGAAGAGAGAGCACATTACCCTGTCTCTACATGGAAGAGAGAGCACATTACCCTGTCTCTACATGGAAGAGAGAGCACATTACCCTGTCTCTACATGGAAGAGAGAGCACATTACCCTGTCTCTACATGAAAGAGAGAGCACATTACCCTGTCTCTACATGGAAGAGAGAGCACATTACCCTGTCTCTACATGAAAGAGAGAGCACATTACCCTGTCTCTACATGGAAGAGAGAGCACATTACCCTGTCTCTACATGGAAGAGAGAGAACATTACCCTGTCTCTACATGGAAGAGAGAGCACATTACCCTGTCTCTACATGGAAGAGAGAGCACATTACCCTGTCTCTACATGGAAGAGAGAGCACATTACCCCCGTCTCTTCACTGGCTTCCTGTCACATTCAGGGTTAATTAAAAGATTCTGATTCTTGTTTGTAAATGTTTCCCGCTGGTCCGTGTAACGCAAGGCCTGGTGATCCAAGATGGTGCCCTATTCAAATGAATGGCTTGTGCTCAGTAGCGCATGGGACTTCACAGGGACCAGGAGATTAGCGGAACTATTAGCTATATTTGGGCATCGTCTGGTCCTCCCGGTTCTGCGCAGTGGACGCATGATGCGTTGCGCCAAATATGCGTGTGTGGCTCTCATGCACGTGCACAGAGGGGCTCGGCCACGCTCTGACCAATCAAAGCTGCTTATCAGAGCAGCAGTAGAGCGGAGTCAGAGCAGGAAGGAAACGAGCAGAGTTTGTGGCAGTAAAGAAGAAAAAAAGTTCATGACAAGGGACACTAAAATCGCCACAAAATCTGATCTTTATGAAAGCTGTAGGTTCTCTGTCAGCTGAGGTCGAGCTGTTTTAGTTTACATTGAGTTATATGGGACTTTTTTATGGGTAGCCCACATGAATTTAGTTTGCAGTACCACTGGCGCCCCCTGTGCCCATGGGTGGGACAGCTAGAAGCTAGTAATACCCTATCCAGTTATTATTATAGATCCATGGTGTAACAATAGACTGGTCCGTGACTTTAAACAGGTTGGGGAGGGCCGTTGTAGTGGAGTGTGAAAAGCGCAGAAGTCCAGGGACTCTCCCCTGAGGAACGCCCACGGCAGCAGAACACGGGAGCCTCAGTAAATGCAGTAACAGGATTAGGCCGTAAATATCCTCAGAGGGATGTCCCGGCTCCTGTCCCGGCTCCAGAGGCTTTTCTCAGAGAGATGGGGGAGGGTTATGTGACTGCCTCCCACACGGACCATGAGTGGAGCTGCAGCTGTGCACATCAAGCCATTATGAACCCTCTCCCAAAGGACTAAATGGGACAGTTTTTAGTTTTGGAAGTGTAAATACTGAAATCAAGAAAATGTTTGGTCTTCATGACTTTGTTAATTTGTCTGTGTCTATATGTACTTGATTTCTATGTCATTATTGCCAAGACAATTTCCAAGTGGTAACTTTGTTACTTACGTGGCAATAAAAATGATTCTGATTCTGATCTATGAAATTACTGTTTATTTTTTAAATGTGAATTCTATCTTTCACTATAATTTAAATTTAGCACTTTTCGTGGCTTTCTCATGGCAGGTAAAGCACGAGTCCTGGACTGGTTTTGTCCTGGACTGGTTTAGTCCACACTGTTTACTTTCAGGAGTTAGCATTTGGTCTTTAGCATTAGCCTTTTTCAACAAACGTTTTTGGCTGTATTTAAAGTTATATGAACAGTTTTAGGTCCCACTGAAAGTGAGAAAAAGTAAAAACATATAATGCATATATGGAGGATTACAAAAGAAACTGTATGTGTTAGAATCTGGTTCAAATAGATTATTATTAATATTCACTACATTTAGGAAGAAATTACAAAATAAAATACAATAAATACACCCAAAACAAATCATTTTGAATGTTATTTCGATATGAATAATAACTATTTTTTGTCTCTCAAACTTAAACTTAAGAGGTCTTTTTTTTAATCAGGAAGTAAAATATCAGGAAGGATTAATAAAACTTAAATTCCAACTTTAGAATATTTAGTGTAGTTTTACTGGATTTGAGACTATTTCGACTGTGTGGCTCCCACAGCATAGACACACACACATAGACATACACCTAGACTCACAGACACACGCACACAAAGACACACACAGACAGAAACACACACACACGCACAAACATAGACACACAGGCTCACATACACCCAGACTCTCAGACACACACACACACTCACATGGACGCACACGCACACAAACACACAAACACACACAGCGACAACAGCACTAGATAAATGAACATATGTATGTGAACATATAGACAGTAACACCACAGCACAGACAGGGGGCGCCACTGCGTACCTTGGGCTTCGGCTGCTTCAATGGTTGCTTTGTTCAATAAAGGAGAGAAAGCAGTCAGCAATAATCCATCAGAACGATCACAAAGTCCTAAACTAAAGTCATGAGAGATGATACAACGAACCACAAACACAAAGAGATGATAGTGACAAGAAATAAACTTTAAAATTATGGTTAAAAATATAAATTAATAGATCAAAATGGCTATTAATCTAGAACTTCTGGAATGGGTCCAGCACCAAAGAGAGAATCACTGTGACTGTGTGGAGTGTGAATCTGAACAACCACGACACACAACCACGGAGCCGCGTCTGCCCCGTACGCCCCCGTGTGTTTGAGTTTGGGCTCCCGAAATGTAAAACCTGCCCCGGAGAGGATTGTGCTCAGACCAGACCCTGACAACTTCCTCTGAGCCCGAATCAGACTATAAAACCCATGAATCTTTCCATGAGTTCCCATTCACCTCGTTTATCGTGGAGGAGAAAGATTTGAACATATAACATGTCTGCAGCTCGACAAACAGAGCCTGAAGTGACAAAGTTCGGCCCGTCACCGTGACAGAGGGGGCGGGGCTTATGAAGTATTTACACTATTTACATGCCTTAGTTTATGGAGACCTTTTGTACAGTGTTCTGTCGCCTACTGCCCTTACAGTTTACAAACACATGCACATATATATACTATCAAGCAACAGTATTTGCTTTTGTTTCACCTTGTGTTATATATTATTATATATTTACAACTTCAATATGTATCTACAAATGTATTTATATTTATATTGTCAGCTCTGAATGGACTCAAACTAATGAACATTTTAATGCATTTAGTTTTTTAGCATTTAATAATAACAATTTGTCGTGCAGTTTAACAATATCATAAAGATCAATCTGAAACAATGAGCAAGACCCAGAAAGGCCCAGCAAGAGCCAGCGAGAGCCAGCGAGAGCTAGCGAGACCCAGCGAGGTCCAGCGAGACCCAGCGAGGTCCAGCGAGACCCAGCGAGGTCCAGCGAGACCCAGCGAGACCCAGCGAGGCCCAGCAAGACCCAGCATGGCCCAGCAAGACCCAGCAAGACACTGCAAGACCCAGCAAGGCCCGGAAAGACACAGCAAGACCCTGCAAGACCCTGCAAGACCCAGCATGGCCCGGCAAGACCCAGCGAGGTCCAGCAAGACCCAGCGAGACACAGCGAGGCCCAACAAGACCCTGCGAGACTCAGCAAGACCAAGCGAGACCTAGTAATGCCCAGCAAGACCAAGCGAGACCCAGCGAGGCTTTGTTGTTATCAGGAAAACATTTAAAAGTCCATTCGTCATTGATCCTGACCCAGAGGTGCGGCACATCACTCTCTGATCATAAATAATGCATAATATAAATCATGTAAACATATGTTATTTTTCGCAGACTTGAGTCAGAACCCTTTGGTCTGAGTGAGGGCTCCTTTTACACTTTTCTGTCTGAAAAAATGGGACAGAAACACATGGGATAGAAACAAACTAATGCCTGAAGCAACAACACAAGTTCAAACTGATCTCAGACCACACGTGTGTGTGTGTGTGTTCCCGTCTCTGTATGTGTGTATGTGTGTGTGTGTGTGTGTCTGTCTCTCTCTGTGTGTGTGTGTGTGTGTGGGTGTGTGTATGTGTGTGTGTGTCTTTATGTAGATGTGTGTGTGTGTAGTTTTTGAAAATAGTCCAGGGTTTTCCAGCTGAATTAGACTAATTGTGATGCTCTGAGTCCGAAAATGACCTTGGTTTTGCTCAATCAGGTCAGGATTTGTTGCCACAGAATTTTTTTTAAAAATCAATTTTGCGTAAAAAACAAATTTCTGCGGATCATCAGCTGAGAAACCCTTGACGTTTTTTCCGTTTTCCTCAAGAAATAAAAGTCAACGTATCCAAAGTAATTCAGTTTTTATTTACTCTATCAAATTTGATAAGCAGAATTCATAATAACGTAGACGTACATAATCCGTAACACTATGGCTGTATCTCAAAAAGTTGACCTGATAGAGCAAAATGCATGTGATATTCGGACTCAGAACACCAAAATTAGTCTAAATCAGTTGAGAAACCCCTGACCATTTTTTTGGCTGTCAACTTGTGTCATAGATTGGTGGAAGGTGATGGGGTAAAAATGATGTGGACAAACACATACATAATAAAATAACATGTAAGCTTTACACATGAGGACGCAGGTTTGAAAAGACAAACACTCCTCTTCCCCCACCTCCTCCTCCGTATGTGTGTGTCTTAATGTGTGAGTGTGTATGTCTTAATGTGTGAGTGTGTATGTCTTAATGTGTGAGTGTGTGTGTCTGTATGTCTTAATGTGTGTATATGTCTTAATGTGTGTGTATGTGTGTGTATGTGTGTGTATGTGTGTGTATGTGTGTGTATGTATGTGTGTGTATGTGTGTGTATGTGTGTGTATGTGTGTGTCTTAATGTCTGTATGTCCTCCTCCTCCTCCTCCTCCTCCTCCTCCTCCTCCTCCTCCTCCTCCTCCTCCTCCTCCTCCTCCTCCTCCTCCTCCTCCTCCTCCTCCTCCTCTCACCTGTTTGTAGAGTCTGCTTCCCTCCGGACAGGACGCCCACAGGGAGAGTGCCGGTGGGGGTCAGGCCTTTGAGGGTCAGCACGCTCTCACTCTCCTCCCTGGACAAGACCAAAACACACAAAGATCCTGTCACAAACTCATGAGCAGCGGTTTGACTTCATAACCCACGCCGTGTTCCAGCTTATTCCCTCTGGCAGAAGAGATTGCAGGACAGCTTCTTTCCACAAAGTGTTGTAACGATTGTGCACACATGTTTGTCGATCAATTTGGATAGTGACAATTGTTTCCTGAACTTTTAGCTTGTTTTAGTAGAGAGAGAGACCAGAGAGAGAGACAAGAGAGAGACCAAAGAGATACCAGAGAGAGACAAGAGAGAGACAAGAGAGAGACCAAAGAGATACCAGAGAGAGACAAGAGAGAGACCAGAGAGAGGCCAGAGAGAGACCAGAGAGAGACCAGAGAGAGACCAGAGAGAGACCAGAGAGAGACCAGAGAGAGGCCAGAGAGAGACCAGAGAGAGACCAGAGAGAGACCAGAGAGAGACCAGAGAGAGACCAGAGAGAGGCCAGAGAGAGGCCAGAGAGAGACCAGAGAGAGACCAGAGAGAGACAAGAGAGAGACCAGAGAGAGGCCAGAGAGAGACCAGAGAGAGACCAGAGAGAGACCAGAGAGAGACCAGAGAGAGACCAGAGAGAGACAAGAGAGAGACCAGAGAGAGGCCAGAGAGAGGCCAGAGAGAGGCCAGAGAGAGACCAGAGAGAGCAACCAGAGAGAGACCAGAGAGAGACCAGAGAGAGAAATACCAGAGAGAGAATCAAGAGAGAGATCAGAGAGAAACCAGAGACGGAGACAAGAGAGAGAAACTATAGAGAGACAGAAAAGAGGCTAGAGAGAGAGACCAGTGAGAGACTAGAGAGAGAGACCAGAGACAGAGACCAGAGAGAGAAACCAGAAAGAGACCGGAGAGAGAGACAAAAGAGAGGCCAGAGAAAAAGTAAGTAAGTAAGTAAGTAAGTAATCTTTATTTATATACCGCCTTTCACAGACCAGAGTCACAAAGCGGTTTACAATTGTTATTTTTGGGCATTTTCTTTCACTCCACACAGAGATAGGAGCGGGAAAGGCCCTGGTCCGCCTGGGATTCTAACCCAGGACCTTCTTGCTGAAAGGCGAGAGTGCCGCCCATGTTCTATGTTTTGTTTACTAAAAGTAAAAAAATACTTCATAATTTGATAAATATATTCAGTAAGGAAAAACATATCTCTAACTTTTAACTAACAAAACCACTTGAATATCTTCTTTCCAGGTCAGATATTACTTTGGCCCTGAACTAAAACGAGTCAAATCTGGTTTCACACATTGTAGGTTTAATTACAAAAGTAAATGAACTTTTTGAACAATATTCTAACTAGTTTCTGCTTTTCATAAATGACTTTGGTTCAATTTCTTCATTCCAACTTTTCCTGAAGAAAAAGTTGGAATGATTCAATTCTTAACCTCGTCCCTACAAATTGGTTATTACATTTGTGGGAAATTATTACATTTGGGACAAATTATTAGATTTGTGGGAAATTATTACATTTGTGGGAAATGAGTGTCCAGGAAAAGGCCGTGAGCAGGTTTGTTCCATGGAAATGTCACTTTAACATCACTAAAAGACTAAAAACATCTTTGAGACTTTAGGGCAAAGATGGCGAAAAAGTGAGACCAGAGAGACAAGAGAGAGAGACAAGAAAGACCAGAGAGAGAGACCAAAGAGAGAGACAGAGGTAGAGAAGAGAGATAAGAGAGATAAGAGAGACCAGAGAGAGAGACTAGAGAGAGAGAGACTAGAGAGACCAGAGAGAGACCAGGGAGAGAGAGACCAGAGAGAGAAAAGAGAGACAAAAGAGACCAGAGAGAGACCAAAGAAAGACCAAAGAAAGACCAGAGAGAGACCAGAGAGACCAGAGAGAGAGACTAGAGAGAGAGATCAGAGAGACTAGAGAGACCAGAGAGACTAGAGAGACCAGAGAGACCAGAGAGACCAGAGAGAGAGACTAGAGAGAGAGATCAGAGAGACTAGAGAGATCAGAGAGACTAGAGAGACCAGAGAGACTAGAGAGACCAGAGAGAGAGACTAGAGAGACCAGAGAGAGACCAGGGAGAGAAAAGAGAGACAAAAGAGACCAGAGAGAGACCAAAGAAAGACCAGAGAGAAACTAGAGAGACCAGAGAGAGACCAGAGATAGACCAGTGAGAGAGAGAGACATCAGACAGAGACCACAGCAGAGAGACCAAACTTGCATGGGAAAGCCAGATCCCCTTAGGCAAGACACTTCACAAACTTTGCCTAGAATGAGTCTGGTGTGTGTGTGAATGGTTGGTGGTCGGAGGGGCCGAGAGCACATACTGGTGGCCTCGCTTCTGTCAGTGTGCCCCAGGGCAGCTGCGGCTACAGTAGTAGTTTATCACCACCGTGTATGGAGTGAAAGAATGATGACATGAGAAGCTTTGAGTGTGCTGAAAAGCGCTGTAAAAACCGATGCATTATTTCATCTTCAGAAATATTTACTTTTTGGTGCCATTTGTAATTTTTAAAACACACATTTGGGTGACAAATAATTAAAATCCTACACATTCGGGGATTTTATTTTTCCCCAATTGTAAGGAGCATACAACTGAAAGTCATCCTCAGTGCTGCTGGAGTTGGATGAGCCAAATATAGAAATGAAAGTAAACAAACTTCAACCGTATGTTGCTTCCAAAGACATTTTCCTTCTGCTCTTGCGCATATTTAACCAGATCAAATATGTTTTGCTCCACTTTCCTCTTTCTTATGTGATGTCAGCTCCGAGGCCCCCGGACACAGCGCCTCTTGTCCTGGATTCTAATTGGGTCACTTTCCCTTTCAGCAGCAGATGTTGTCATATTTTTACGCACGAATAAACGCGGCCAACATGTCAACACTCCGCAACATCCACTCTCTGGCCTCACAACCATTTGAAACGTGAAATTAAATGTGCATTTGACCCATCCTGATGCCACTTGGGCGTCTGTCAGGAGCAGTGGTCGCCATAGTAACAGTGCCAGATGTTGATGTTCGGCTGGGTCAGGACCAGAGCTGCAGGATTATACCGAGTGTACATGTTTTTAGTGGTAGAGGGAAACCGGAGCCCCCGGAGGAAACCTACGCAAACACCGGGAGAACCCAGGACCTTCTTGCTAACCACTCAGCCACTCCCTATACTAGCAGTTTTATGATGGAAAGCAAAATTGCACACAAAAAAATCTGTGAAACATCAAAGTCGTGAAAGGTGAACCACGTTATAGCGAGGGACTACAGGGACTACAGGGAATTCAGGGACTTCAGGGACTTCAGCGACTTCAGGGATTTCAGGGATTTCAGGGATTTCAGGGACTATAGGGACTATAGGGACTTCAGGGATCCAATTACAAAACAGCCTCAAACCATGAGGAACAGTAGCAGAGAAGCTGCAGGGAAATACCGTCACCTCCACAGACACTAGACATTTATTTGAACGTGTCTTAATTTCAATGGGAAAGACATTATTTTCAATGATGCGACTGAAGCCAACTAGAAATGGTAAAACTGCTGTATTGCGTATGACTGCTTATTTTTCCATGTGCTTTCATTGAAACAAATAATGCTATTCTTTCTGATGAATGTTGTTGTGTTTTTTTTTCCTCGTTACAAACTGGCAACCCAAATGTTCCTTCTGTTCTCTGATTGGACAAGCCGCTTGAAAATGGTAAACTTAAATATCATGGACGTTGTGTCCGATGTATCTTTAAGAAGACTGACCCCAGATTAAACCTTTCAGGAAAGGTCAGTTGATGTAGGTGTGACCTGTTATCTTGAGACTCATATAAAAGACGTTTAGATGTAATTTAAAATGAAAATATTACATATAGTTCACTGATACTAGGACACAAACCTGAGGACGGCAAAGACACGCGCCATTTTCCCCACGGCGCGGATCTTGTTGCGGATGACTTCTTTGCGGACAGCACTGGTGCCTCCTGGGAAATAAAAGCAGAGTTAGACACATCCACATCTGTCAGAACACGACGTAGACTCAGAGAGCACAGGAAACAGACCACGACACAAAAACATCATTTACTCGGATTAAGAATCATCTTCATTTTACTGGGATCTCAGTGTTTCACCATTTTCAAATATCTTATCTATATCAAAAATCTTTTTTCTAGGTGAACATGTCCCAGCTGTCAGTGTCAGCCTTTTTACATGACTCTATGTCACTCACAGGTGTGATATCCGGAGATAGAAGTGAAGAAATTAATCTTGTTCAAAATACAACAGCCAGACGTGGTTGTCCCTATGGTTTCAAAAAGCACTGTTGGCAAAAGAGCATTTAGCAACCAAGCTCCTTTACTGTGGAATCAGCTCCACACGCACGTTAAGGAAGCAGACACTGTCTCTACATTTAATGCCAGGCTTAAAACACTCTTTTTCAACTTAGCATTTGGTAATTGTTTTTCCGGTCAGGTTTCGTCAGGTCTTGGAGTCTGCCTATGTGGGACCCGGTCCGCTGAATCTTCAACCCTACGTTCTAGGCTAGACTAAAACAGTCCTCTTTATTTAGCATATGGCTAGGAAGGTAAGACTCAGGGAAGGCTAAACTCCTCAGACTGTCAGTCAAGCTGCATAGGGAGTCAGTTTGCTGGGAGAAGTATGTCAACTTGAGCACTATCCTCTCCTCCTTCCTACTTTATCTGTTTAGCATTATTAGGATTTTGACTGTAGTTTATTCATTGCTATTCACCCGTTGTCCCATTGTCTGTTTCATGGCACAATGACATGACCTCTGAGCCTGGCCTCCTCCATCTACACCTGCGGACTGCCTTGCCCGACCCGCCTGGGAGTTCTTCAGTCCTGTACCGGACCTGTCCACGTTCAGCAGCCGCTGGTCCACGTTCTGTAGCTTAGGTCCTGGATCTATAGCCCGTCCGTCCGTGGGAGCGGATCCCTTTCTCAACTTGTGGGTCTCCCCGAGGTTTCTCACTTTTTTCCCACTGGATTTTTGTGAGTATTTCCTTGCAGTTAGTGTCCAACTAGAAGGACTGTGGTGATGATCCAGGACACTTTAACATTCTGTGTGTTAAAGTGTTCTATAAAGTGTTCTATATTCTTTATGTGTTTTAACTGTTGATTCTCTGATCTGTGTTGGTGATTTCAATGGTTTTTTTAAGTCCTCTGAGATGACTTCTGAATAAATTGTATTGTATCGTATTGTAATCTTATTTTATAAACAAAAGGCAGAGGTTAAAACAATCTGGTGCTGTGTGTACCTTTAGTACTACAGTACAAGTAACAGTACTTTAGTACCTTTGTAAATAAAGTACAAGTACCTTTAATACAATAGAACTAGTTCCTTTAATACAACAGTACAAGTACCTTTGGCACTAAAGTACTAGTTCCTAACGTTCATCAAATCATCCATCCATCCATCCATTATCTTCCCCTTTATCCATTTCTGGGTCGGGGGGGGTGGCAGTCAGAGCTGCACCCAGTACACAGAGCACCAGCCCCTCACTGATCCTCCTGCAGATGGTGAGTCCACAGGAGCTGTGATCTTTCAGCGGGGGCTTCAGGCAAAGCGGGTTAAGTGTCTTGCCCAAGGACACAACGGCAGCAGTCATTAGTGGGAGTCTTGAAGTTGGTCTTACGGTGGGCTCGAACCCGCAACCTTCAGGCTCAAAGGCCAATGCTCTACCAACTGAGCTACTGTCGATATTTCATCAAATCAAATATATTAATTTCAAACAAAAGGGATAAAAATAATCAGAAGGATCAGACCTCTCTCCCTCATACAATACTTAAGTAAAGCAGGTGATTACGGTGAGCATGTCTGTAGAATAGTTGTGGATGAGGAGCAGAGTTTACCTTCTCCCTGGTCGTCTCCTTCTGACATCAGCTCGTCGTCGGAGCAGATGTTTAGGATGTTGACTAGCATCTCCGTCACTATGGAAACCATATAAACAATAGATTTAGAGACAATCATCTGAGGAAGTGTGCACAGAGTGTGCAGAGGCCTGCTGACCAATGAGAAGGTGTGTAGAGAGACTGACCAATGAGAATGAGTGTAGAGAAACTGACCAATGAGAATGAGTGTAGAGAGACTGACCAATGAGAATGAGTGTAGAGAGACTGACCAATGAGAATGAGTGTAGAGAGACTGACCAATGAGAATGTGTGCAGAGAGACTGACCAATGAGAATGAGTGTAGAGAGACTGACCAATGAGAATGTGTGCAGAGAGACTGACCAATGAGAATGAGTGTAGAGAGACTGACCAATGAGAATGTGTGCAGAGACTGACCAATGAGAATGTGTGCAGAGAGACTGACCAATGAGAATGTGTGCAGAGAGACTGACCAATGAGAATGTGTGCAGAGACTGACCAATGAGAACGTGTGCAGAGAGACTGACCAATCAGAGCTGAGGGTTGTACCTTTTTCTCCGACGAAAGGCAAAGACCACGTGAAGACGTCCATGAAGTTGGGTAACCAGTACGGATGAGGCGAGCAATTAAACTGACGAATATTCATGACATTGTTCTCATATTTTAATACAGCAGCTGCAAGACAACAGGCAAGAAGCAAACAGTCATAATGTGTAATCGTGGATCCCAGGTGTTGTTCTTAATTTCTAATAATGAATCATTTGAATTATTGTTTTTGTCAATAATTTAGGATTGCATTTTTGTCCACTATAGACATGCTTGGAACACACTGTTAAACTTAAAACACAGAACTCACTTCAAAACTACTCTGATAATGTTCAGGGCAATCACAAACTAAGAAGAAACAAAAAAGTCTATTAGATTTGATAGTATTTTCAGTGCTTCAGTAAAATACAACAACTGGTTAAGATTTATCCCCTTGGGTGGATGTTCTGCAGTCCAAACAGTTTAACATGGCAATAGATCAAAACCAGTCGTTTTCTTCTACCAAGATCCTAAACAGTAAAAAAGCAGACAAAAAGAGCGTTTTTGTACGAGTATGATTTTAAAGTAGATCTACGTAGGCATTGTGTATCTCACTGCGAGGAGTTAGTCTTTGGAACAACTTCTGTTTAAATGAAGACAAGGCGGAGAGAGCGAGAGGCAGGGGAGAGGTGTAGGGTCAGAGAGTGTGTGGGCCTATGTGTGTAGGCATCGGTGTGTGTTTCGACGTATGGGAGTTGGGATGCCTGTGTGTGCGTGCCTGTGTGTGCGTGCCTGTGTGTGTGTGTGTGTGTGTGCCTGTGTGTATGCATGCCTGTGTGTATGTGTGTGTATGTGTGTGTGTGCCTGTGCCTATATGTGTGCCTGTGTGTATGCGTGCCAGTGTGTGCGTGAGCCTGTGTGTGTGCGTGCCTGTGTGTGTGTTTGCATACCTGTGTGTGTGTGCCTATATGCGTGCCTGTGTGCACGTGCCTGTATGTGTGTTTGCCTGTATGTATGTGTGCGTGTGTGTGCGTGCCTGTGTGTGTGGGTGCCTGTATGTGTGTGCGTGTGTGTGTAATATTAGCATGTAGAGTAAAATTAATATATCTAGAGCAGTGTCTCCCAAAGTGGGGTCCGCGGCCCCCTGGTGGGCCGCGTGGGTACTGCAGGGGGGCCGCGGGAGGTCATAAAAAAAATAAAAAAATAATATAATTATTTAATGTTAAATTTATAATGTTTTGTTTGTAATATTAAAATATTTGTGTTCATTATTTGACTTGAATAAGCCACTGTAATCATTTTTGTATTACAATGTTTGTAGCAGAGGCTATTTCCCCAAAATAAAATAACCAGAAGAGCCTATTCTTAATGTTGTCTTCTTGGTTATTATTTTGGGGGGCCACGCAGACCCGTCAGATTTTTAAGGGGGCCTCGGTGTTACTGAGTTTGGGAATGGCTGATCTAGAGTAACCATCTTAGTTGTTATATTCAAGCTAGCCAGGTACAATTGAAAACAGATAGTTGTAAAAAGAGATACAGAGACTCCTGATGTTAGCCTGGATGTCGCTAAAAACCACTCTAGGCCTTTGACAGATCAGGGAATCGTCGGAACAGAATGACCTGAATTCAAACCATAAACAGATTTACCAACACATTAGAAAAGCAGAGAGCTGTACCTTTATTGTTGTAGACGTCTAAGTAATTGGGAGCAGAGAAAATGGTGATTAGCGAAGGGAAGCCCGTGGTTTGGCTTTTTCTGTACATACGGTAACTGCAGGAGAGAGACACAGAGTGAGCGACGACACCGATCGAAAGGTATAACAAAGGATAAGGAACGGACAAAACCAAAACGTACCCTGCGTCTTGTGCTTCGTGAGCTCTTATTACCGACAGCAAGTTGTTATTCACCAAAAAGTCACACACCGCGGAATAACTGCGAGACAAAGAAGAGGGAAAAGTAAAACACGGGGTAGAAGCATCAAACCATCCCAGCACTATAGAATATAATGTTTCAGTTGCCTCTAGTGGTGGAATAATAATAATAATAATAATTTTATTTAAAAGGACAGTGTAAAAACATGGTTAGAAACATGGGTGCAATTTAAAAAAAGATATTAACAACAGAACTGGACTAGGTGTTGAGATGACAAGTCATGTGACTGTAAGTAAGTATGTAAGTAATCTTTATTTACATAGCGCCTTTCCCAGACCAGAGCCACAAAGCACTTTACAATTGTGGGCATTTGTAGCTCACTCCACACAGAGAGAAAGGAGTGAGGTCGCCACACCAGACCTAATGGGTATGTTTTTAGTGGTAGGAGAAACCGGAGCTCCTGGAGGAAACCTACACAGACACGGGGAGAACATACAAACTCCACTCAGAAAGACCCTGTTCCGACCAGGATTTGAACCCAGGACCATCTTGCTGAGAAGCGAGAGTGCTAACCACTCAGCCGCCATGCTGCACAACTGGTCATGTGACTGGTCATGTGGGGAAAGAAAGTCTGAAAGGGTGAGTTTTGAGTCTGGATTTGAACAGAGGAAGAGTCTGTGTTGCGGAGGAGTTCCAGAGCTGGGAGCAGAGCGGCTGAATGCTTTAGTCCCCATGGTGACGAGGAGGAGAGAGGAGGACAGAAAGGAGGAGAGAGGAGCACAGAGAGGAGGAGAGAGGAGGAGATGCTAACTTTTTGCAAAGTGCTAACAAAGCGTTCAGCATTTTACTTTGGACTAGAGCAGAGAAAAAAGGTCCGAATCAAGCGGCTACTCCACCTCTGCTGCTGTGACCTAATGCACTGTTGCACTTTAATACTATTGTTAGCTACTTTTACTTTATTTCTTTTGTTTGTGAGGATGGATGTGTTTTTGCTGCTACTGGACACCTGAATTTCTCCTACGGGGATCAATAAAGTACGTATCTTTCTATCTTTCTACATAAGCCATGGTGCATCCTTGAGGTTCCTCAGTGACTATAACTGGACGTAAATCAATCGTTCTATGACCCGGTGTGACATCCTGGGTTAGCTAACGTCCACCAAAGGAAGCCGCACATGCCAGTTGTCCTCCTGTTAATTGTGCTTTTCCAATTCTTTTGAAAACACAATTGCCCCGTTATAATTTTACTATTATTCTCATTCACAAAGCACATGCAAAAACTGACCCACAAAAACAAATTAAAGTTCGCCTTTTGTCCGACGGCTTCTTTCATCACTATTATCCAGCGACATGCGGCACATTAAAACAGGGAACATGTTTTTTTTTTACCTTTATCTGAAGCTATATGAGAAAAACATGGACATTTTCAAATCCTTTCTTAGACTAAAACTATTTAAACCATGAGTAATAATGCTTTAAATTAGATTAAATTAAAATAAAATAAAAAATATGACGCACTATGAATGTTCACTTTAAACATGATCTTAAGACTATTTTGGTGGAATCTAAGGCTAACAGGCCTCATGGGTTAAACTTTGGCCAGAACGCTCACGCCTTCCTCTGCTCTGATTGGTCAGATATGGATGTAGCACGAATAGCTGTGACTGAGGGATGTAATCACCAGTGAGTGTGACTTCCTTCGTTTTTTTCCAACGCCTGCTGTACCTTGAGACCTCCACACGGTGGCATGCATAGGAGGCCGCAGAGATGATTTCAAGTACGTGCCCGTGGTAGAAGCCTGGAGCACATCGCACGCTGACACCGAGCCACGCACTGAGCCCAAACTATGACCCACACTTATTCTCACGGTGCAGTGATGAGGCTTTCAGTCCAAATACACAGGACACGTGATAATGGTCTTTGACAAGATCATCTGTATTAGTGATAGTCTGTAACTCTAAATTAATTACAAATTTTAGGAAATGTGCTAAATTGACCTCCTGGCCTTAAATGTTGATATAAAATAAGTCATTTTATTAATTCTAATATTACGGGCAAGTCCCGCCTTCCCTGCTCTTAGCTATAGTTCAGAATCCACGGTGCCGTCGAGGTTAACCAATCGAGTCATGCCAAGGGCTGTCAATCATCAGCGCTGATGCTCGCAGCTGCACGCATGCGCAGTTGTTTGTTTTCGCGGAGCCTCCGAATCAAGCCTCTATTAGGCTCTGCACTACATGAAAACTGAACAAAGAATTCTGAACATCCGTGCTGAGGTACTTATGTATATACTGAACCTATATCCATAATCAGATCCTCTGCAGATGTGTCCTATAATGTGCAATTCATGATAATAGCACTTCCTGGTTTGCCGCGATTGCTTTTTTTGTGCATAAAAACATTATTTTTTTCATTAAAACGTTCACAAATAATTCTGAAAACCTCCGTGCATGTGTATTAATAATGTATATGTATAATGTGTTCTCTGATTAACATTTCAAAGTGTTACGGAAACGTAGGTGTAGACCAATCAGAAAGGAAGGGGGGGGGGAGCTTGCGTCGTTTTTTTCAAATCAAGTACCTCTCTGTCTCTCTTTCTGACAAACTCCAGACAATCACTTTAAACATTATAAGGAGGCGCAGGTTTAACAGGGATTCTGAACATTGTTTTTTTTCTTTCAAGTCTTGTATCTGACCAAACCAGCCACGGAGACCATGAAGACAAACACATACAGTACATCTGACTGTTGCTGTACACCCTCTGGCCTGTACCGTCCTCCATAGATTCACAGCAGCAGCAGCTTTTGAGCTCGCTGCTTGTGTTTATGACGACTTTGTTTTGTTTCTGGTCCAGCTACAGCTACATGCGGAGTGGTGTAGTAGTTTTTCTAACATTACTAGTTGTTAGAAATACTACAAAGTCTGATCGGTCCAAAAGAATGTTCAACAAAACAATGACGCCATTAAAATGGGTTTGCTGGAACACTGTAAGCGCTAGTTTTTATAACTATAATGCATAAAAAACGTAGTATTTGCCACCTCTGACAAGCGTTGGTAACAGTCATAATGTTTTGGCCGCCTTATCATACATGGATCTCTGCGGTATAATGTGCTATATAAATCAAATGTCTTCTTCTACCTGAAAAAGTAGGAGCAGCCTCTCACAGAGTTGTGGTTGAAGTGCTCAGATGTCTTCTCGCTGCCGTAGTCCTCTCCGGGGTCGGCCCAGATCAGATCACACATGGGGCCAAAGGCTGGAGGCTCCTTAAACCGGTCTAACTGCCAAAACAATTCACCAGACATTAGTAATCAATCACAAAGGTAAAAGATATCCCACTACCAAATCCCACCATCAATCTGCTGTTGTGTGGGCATTTAAGTGATTACTTTTGTGTTGACTTAGTTATAGTTTTAGTAATATTCAAGTCAATTAAAATGTTCTCATACATATACAATCATGATAATAATTCACACGACACAGGTCCAAAAGATGTCTCTCAATGTGAACAGTGAAGCAAGATAAAGAGAAAGTCATGAAGTGAATGCAATGTGACACAATATTCTAACATAACTGCTATGTTGGCTCCACAGTCTGGGCCCCAGGAAGAAGTTAGCTATTAGCAGCAGCTAATGGGCTCCATGACGATAAACAAACCAACAACACTTTTGTAGATGGGGAGATTAATAAGATGAAATAAGATAAGATAGACTTTATTGATCTCACACAGGAGAAATGTACATGTCACATCTGCCATGGATAGAAACACTCAGATTGTGCAAAAGAAAGAAATGTGCAAACATGTTAAATGCAGGATATATTATGTATAATAAAAAGTGGCAATCAAAGAAACAGTGGCAATAGTAGTGCAGTTTTTTCAGTCCTAATTCAAGTGACTTAAAGTGACTTATTGTACAGTCTGACAGCGGTGGAGATAAAGGCCCTGCTGTAGCGCTCCTTCTTGCACTGAGGGTGTCTCAGTCTTCCACTGAAGGAGCTCCTCAGCCTCAATATAAGAGAAATATATAAATGCACTTTTCTGATAGACGATGTGTTTGCAGCTTCATACATATTTACAATAAACGTTTTAGTGGTGGGAGAAAAATTGGTTCTGTTCAGTATTCTGATATTTTTTGCAAACAATTAACATTTTTACAAAAAAGCTACGTTTTTGGATATTAAATTCAATAATTATCCGAGTTTGGTAACGAACATCTGGGGTTTATGTAACTCTTTTATGTCTGCTTTCTGTTACACTAGTCAATTGTGTTGAATCAATTGCAATGGATTTTCAGGAAAAGAATAAAAGCACCTGCCCTAAACACAGTGTGATCGGGGGATGTCCAAACTTTTATGCTTTGACTTACTTTCCTGATGTCGTCTAAGCAGTTGATCTCTGGGGACAGGCCTCCGTGGACGCACAAGAACTGCTGGTTCAGGAGCGCGGCCAGAGGCAGACAGTCAAAGGCCTCCATACAGGCGTCATACACACGCTCAGAGTACTTGATTTTACCTGGAGGTACACAACACAGAGTCAGAGGCGCACAACACAGAGTCAGAGGCTCAAAACACAGAGTCAGAGGCACACAGCATCTCTGGTCTCTCTCTCTCTGGTCTCTCTCTCTCTGGTCTTCTCTCTCTCTGGTCTTCTCTCTCTCTGGTCTCTCTCTCTCTGGTCTCTCTCTCTCTGGTCTCTCTCTCTCTGGTCTCTCTCTCTCTGGTCTCTCTCTCTCTGGTCTCTCTCTCTCTGGTCTCTCTCTCTCTGGTCTCTCTCTCTCTGGTCTCTCTCTCTCTGGTCTCTCTCTCTCTTCTCTCTCTCTCTCTGGTCTCTCTCTCTCTGGTCTCTCTCTCTCTGGTCTCTCTCTCTCTGGTCTCTCTCTCTCTGGTCTTTCTCTCTCTGGTCTCTCTCTCTCTGGTCTCTCTCTCTCTGGTCTCTCTCTCTCTGGTCTCTCTCTCTCTGGTCTCTCTCTCTCTGATTTCTCTCTCTCTGATCTCTCTCTCTCTGGTCTCTCCCTCTGGTCTCTCCCTCTGGTCTCTCCCTCTGGTCTCTCCCTCTGGTCTCTCCCTCTGGTCTCTCCCTCTGGTCTCTCCCTCTGGTCTCTCCCTCTGGTCTCTCTCTCTGGTCTCTCTCTCTGGTCTCTCCCTCTGATCTCTCCCTCTGGTCTCTCCCTCTGGTCTCTCCCTCTGGTCTCTCCCTCTGGTCTCTCCCTCTGGTCTCTCCCTCTGGTCTCTCTCTGGTCTCTCCCTCTGGTCTCTCCCTCTGGTCTCTCCCTCTGATCTCTCTCTGGTCTCTCTCTCTGGTCTCTCTCTCTGGTCTCTCCCTCTGGACAGTTGTCAGGTCATACCGCACATGTTTGTTCTTTGCCAGTCCCATAGATGTATCATATTGACCTATATATAATGGCCTGTCCCCATTCCACACCACAGCTATTCCACACCATGTCCACTGCAAGAGTGGGGGCCGGAGCAGGAGTAGGGGGCCAAAGCAGGAGTGGGGGGCTGGAGCAGGAGTCGGGGGCTGGAGCAGGAGTGGGGGGCTGGAGCAGGAGTGGGGGGCTGGAGCAGGAGTGGGGGGCTACAGTAAGACAGTGTAATTCCGCGGCCTTAAAGCAGCATAAGTAATCCTTGCGACACACACTATTCACAAAAGTTTTTCCTCTGACTTGAATCAAAGGTAACGGTCATCCTCTTGATTCTCTAATGTTTTTATATAATGCGCCTTGCTCGTTTAAGTAGTTAATTTTCCAAAAGTGAAGCGTTTCAAAGAGGTTTACCCATAAAATGAAAATGATAAGTTTGTGAAGGCAATTTACCACCAGGTTCAACATGTGAAGTTTGGAGATTTCTTGGAAAAATACATTTTCCGTAGACGTAAAGGTAAGGTCCTCTGCATTTGACCCATCCTTATGCCGCTAAGGCTTACGTCAGGAGCAGTGGTCGCCGTAGTAACAGCACCTGAGACCCATCTCCAGATGTTGACGCTCGGCTTGGTCAGGACCAGAGCTGGAGGATTTACCTATTATACATGTTTTTAGAGGTAGGGGAAAGCCGACCACATGGAGTAAACCTACGCAAACACGGAGAGAACATGCAAACTCCACTCAGAAAGACCTGTTCTGACTAGGATTCAATCCTTTCTTGCTGAGAACCGAGAGTGCTAACCACTCTAAAAAAAATTAAAAAAAGATCTTTCCACTACTAGAAACAATGGCACAATCTAAAAAGGCTCTGTTTAAATCACATCCTACGGCCTATGGCTGCATCTCCATTTCTTCAAGCTTTGCTCCAAGATGCACGCAGATATTGAAGATGATAATAGCCTTCTCCCTGCGCGCTGCGTGGGAGGGCTCTGACTATTTGCAGCTGGCATCGTGCTTTTCTCCGTGAGCCATTGGGAGTCTCCGTGAGCCATTGCCTCGCACAAAGACAGTGAGAAACACCACTCAAGGCGAGCCACGCTGTCACACTGACAGGGAGAGCAGGGATTTCAAAAGTAGTCATGGATTTTATAGATGATAAAGCTTATTACATAATTTTTTTCTTAGCAAGTTGTAATAAAACATCCATAGCTATGTTGTAATGAGTCAGTATTGGATTTAACGAAATTACAATTGAGTAACATAGGGCGTTATTATGAACATAAATGTATCGGAAATTCCGGACCAATTAAACGCTGCGGCTTACACTAAGGTGCGGCTTAAATTTTCAGGGTTTTTTTGAGGCACCAAAAACATTGTATGTGTGTGTGTATGTGTGTATGTATGTGTGTATGTATGCGTGTATGTATGTGTGTATGTATGCGTGTATGTATGTGTGTATGTATACGTATGTATGTATGTATACGTATGTACAGTATGTATGTGTGTTTATATGCATATGTACATAATTTTATATTTCTAATTTTTATTGTGTTTATTCTTAAAATGTTTTATTGTTTCCCATTATTCTTCCTGTGCAATGTATATTTACATTTGCCTGCCTTGAATGGAGATGCATGGTGGATTGTTGTGTGTGTTGTTTGTTGTGTGTGTTGTTTGTTGTGTGTGCTGTAGGTGTTCGACTTCCCAGAGTAGTGTGTGCCCGGATCCCCAGGTGGCGGTCACTCACATTCTTGTTTGAAGGTGAAATACTCTGTGAGATGGCGGCACTCGTGGTTCCCTCGCAGCAGGAACAGGGTGCTGGGGTGGTTGATCTTCAGAGACCAGAGGTAGAGCACACACTGCGGAGAAACAGGACATCAGGAAATCAGGAAATCAACCATCAAGACATCAAGTCATCCAGACATCAGGACATCGGGACATCGGGACATCGGGACATCGGGACATCGGGACATCGGGACATCGGGACATCGGGACATCATGACATCATGACATCATGACATCATGACATCATGACATCGGGACATCGGGACATCGGGACATCGGGACATCGGGACATCAGGACATCGGGACATCGGGACATCGGGACATCATGACATCATGACATCGGGACATCGGGACATCGGGACATCGAGACATCAGGACATCAAGACATCAACCATCCAGACATCAACCATCCAGACATCAAGACATCAGGACATCAGATTTGAAAATGTGAGACAGAAAAAAGTTCTGTTTTTCTGCAACAACTGAGGAATTTCATCTTTACTCTTTTTAATGTACTGTGATTATTTATGAATTTTAATTTTTGTTTCTATTTTCAAATCAGCTTATTTCAAATGAAGCCAAGGATCTGTTGTCAGCGGCTTGTACAGTAGCTCACGCTGTTCTTGAATAGTGACACAATAATTAATATAAGCACAATCTGGCGGCCTCAACTCAGAACACAGGGCAGACTGATGTGTTCCAAATACCACCATAATGTGAAAGAGAAAATACTGTAAAAATATAAAAATAATCCCAATCGACCTATTCCCATCAATATCCATGAATTAACCTCGGAAATGTGCTGACAAGGATAGTAGCGCTATTGTCTACCTCACATCTACTGTATTTGCCGCCTTCATTGTAAAAATCTTTCCAGCCGCTACCACTATAGAGCCCCTCTCTATCAAACCCTCACTCCATTTTCTTTATTCTTCTCTGAGAGCCGACCGTCACATACAGGCCCCACATCCAACATCAATACTCCCCAATTCATATCGATCCATTCGCATCCAAGCTGTTTCGTTTTTCTATATTATGGCTATGACATTTTTGCTTTCCTTTTTTCCTTTGCTACAACTCTTTATTACTGTTAGCAGAACATAGTCAAGTTTTCACTTCATGTCATACGTTACAGTCATTATTTTTCGTATTCCACACAAACTGTCGCCACAATCAGCACTTATTCAAACCCAACTCAATTCATAAGGTTGACGCTCGCCCTAATCCTCCCACCTCCATGTGTTTTTAATGCAATGAATTTTAAGCAGGACAAAAAACCCTACATTAAAACATGGCTAGAGAATGGGACAGATGTCTTTGGAACAGGCCATAGTGTCCTGTTTAATGCACCACCTTAGACACATGCATATTTGTAGACAAAAGGAAGGGAAAATAGGGGCAAAGATAGTAGTGGGTAGATGGATCAAATACACAAATCCTTGTTGCTATCTTATTGTATGTCTGCACTTGAGTCGTATGTCTGTAATTTCACCAGTTAAAAATATGTATCATAATTATAATTGTTTCCGGCATTGGTCAGTCAAGCTTTAAAAAAGAAATTGGGTGGATCTCTCTTGGTCATAACTGTAAAAAGCCGCGGTTGTTGTTTTGTGCTTTACAATTTATATTTTTATTTCTTTTTTCTACCTGAGATGTTGCTACAGTACAGTGTTCATGGTTTTACGCTGGTCCAGACCGGAGCAGAGAGGATTCATGGTCCAAAAAAATCCACTGGAGGAATGCTAACAAAGTATTTAGCATTTTAGTTTGGACCAGAGCGGAGAAAATGGTCCGAACCAAGCTGCTGCTCCACCTTGTGACCTGTCCTGCTCCACCCAGAGGCTACTCCATCTCTGCTGCTGTGACCCGTCCTGTTCCACCTAGAGGTTACTCCACCACTGCTACTGTGACCCGTCCTGCTCCACCTAGAGGTTACTCCACCACTGCTACTGTGACCCGTCCTGCTCCACCTAGAGGCTACTCCACCTCTGCTACTGTGACCCGTCCTGCTCCACCCAGAGGCTACTCCATCTCTGCTACTGTGACCCGTCCTGCTCCACCTAGAGGCTACTCCACCTCTGCTACTGTGACCCGTCCTGCTCCACCTAGAGGCTACTCCACCTCTGCTACTGTGACCCGTCCTGCTCCGCCTAGAGGCTACTCCACCTCTGCTGCTGTGACCCGTCCTGCTCCACCTCGAGGCTACTCCACCTCTGCTACTGTGACCCGTCCTGCTCCACCTAGAGGTTACTCCATCTCTGCTACTGTGACCCGTCCTGCTCCACCTAGAGGTTACTCCACCTCTGCTGCTGTGACCTGAAGGGCTGTTGCTCATTATTACTATTGTTAGCTTTTTGGAATGATCAATTCTATTTTTGATTTTTGCTGCTACCGGACACCGGATTTTCTCCAACGGGATCAATAAAGTATCTATATATCTACTGTATCTATCTACCTATCTAAAAGCCAGGGACAATTCCATTTACCTGTTATATTTTTTCATGTGGAAAATTCCCGTTGGAACGCACGGATAATCAGCTGCAGACTACGATGATTAAAACAAATGGTGTTGTGTCATTTGGAGCCCCTTTCTATAAATACAGTCTGTTGTATGGGATTCTACTGAGCTGTTGTTCCCACGGCAACAGTGGATGGATTGGTGTATATGAGAGCTGCTGCTATAGGCTGCAGTCACATGGGGTCACCGACTAATGTGTGGAGACTGCTCAATGTTATTTAGAGAAACACTCTGCTTTACATGACGTCACATACATCCTCTTTTCCTCTTTTTATTCCATAAAATTGAACTGCTGTGTTGACTCATTACATATATTATTATGTTCACACATTGGCACAAAATGCACCCGCCATTTGATGTTGGTGTGCTTAGACTCATTTGCACAGGCTTCTGTTTTCCACCCGGTACACGGAAATGACTATGGCCTCATTTCAAATCAGTCCCCCTCATTTTAACCAGAGCTCGAGATGGAAAAGGCAAGAATTCCATCTTCACTAGAACTTCTTCCAGCTCATCCGGGGGAATCATTGCTGTTCCCAGGCCAGCGAGTCTGGGTCTTTACTGGGGTCTCCGCCTCCTTTATCTGGAGGGGCAGTGGCTTTAGTCAGAGCTCCTCTCGTAAAAATAAACTTTGTATTTCCATTGTTTAGCAGATGCAGCGGCCATCACTCCATCCTTCCCTCAGGTGAACGAGAGCTGAGATACCAAGATCTCACACGGCAACTTCCCCCGGCCGAGAAGCATGACGACCCCTTTTAGGCTGAGTTTACACGGAGACAATGTGGCAGTAAAACGCTATAGTTGGATGTCGGTTGCTACCAACCGTTCATACGAAGACTGTGTTCCAGGGGGGTGAAAACGCAAGTGTTCAGATCCAGCCTGCAGAGTGGGACAACTCAGATACGCTGCACAGCGGGGAGCTTTTTCACACCCGCGAGAGGGAAAAAGGTGTGAAATCCCCCTCTGCTCTGACCCCCGCCTCCGCGCTGCTCCCCGCACGTACATTTGGACATGCGCAGTAGCGGAGAACAAACATCAACAACAATGGCGCTGCCCACACAAACTAGCTACGTGGGCTTCGAGCACAGCACAGAGGATAATTCTACTCCTTCGTTCGTCCAAACGAGACCACGCGAAGCTCTAGGTTCAGTTTCCATTTTCACAGCTGCTGTTAAAAGGCAGAATGATGTTGGTACTCTCTGAGGGTCTGGCACAGGAAGTGAGTATACTGCCGAGAGGGGGGCTGGGCACGGGGCTCGGGGTCGTGTGAGTGTTGTAAAGTTTATCTGCCCACTACTGGCCGGGCGCTAGAACTACATCGTTTTTCAACCTCATGTGAACGCTGAGAAATTTCCATTAGGAGCCAGGTCGTTTCTGTTAATAGCCTGGAAACGTCTGCGCAGCGTCTCAGTATAAACAGGGCCTTAATCTGCCATGTCAGCCCCTCTCTTGCCCATGTGGTCCTAATCCGGCCCTCCTCTGGCTCCTGTGATCCTAAACCGGCTCATCTCTGGCCCCTGTAGTCCCACTGCAGATTTTCTGTAGTCCTTGGAAACAGTTTTTGTTGTTCGATTTCAGTCACTTGTTTCCTCTACTTGTTATAGCTCGTTTTGTTCCTGTACTTTTTAGCTTGTTTGAATGATGCACACATTTCATTAGTTCCGTCACTAGTTTTCATATGCATGTATTTTTGGAAAATGTAGGTACTACAGCAGCTTTTTTATGTCTTCTTTTATGTCAAGACTTAGAAGGTTCTTTTAATAAGACAAAAGAAGTGTAAAGAAGCTAGTACTGCTGAAAGATTGATCTAATGCGTCAGACTGGCAACGCCCAATCATCAGAAGGAATGCCAAATGTAATTGGTGGAGTGACCAACAAGATCAAGGAAAAATCAACAAAGGAAAACCTCAAATCCGAAATATGTGAACACTGCTAAGGAGAAAATCATGCATGGGCTGGGACAATGCATAAATAGTATAAAAAAGAAGAACATAAATACAAGAGATGAATACAAGAGGCGATTGAAATCCGGACGTGGGGGGCATGGACCATCAACAGAGACGAGGGGGCCTTCACCTTGACTCACACTTGGGACTTACTTCTCAAGAGATCGCAGCGAGGCAGGGGGCGTGGTCACTCCATGGATCTATAATAATAACTGGATAGTGTATTACTAGCTTATAGCTGTCCCACCCATGGGCACAGGGGGCGCCCATGGTACTGCAAACTAAATTCACATGGGCTACCCAGAAAAAAGTCCAATATAACTCAATGTAAACTAAAACAGCTCGACCTCAGCTGACAGAGAACCTACAGCTTTCATAAAGGTCGGATTTTGTGTGGATTTTAGTGTCCTTTTCATCCTGAACTTTTATTCTTCTTAAATCCTTCGGTTTTCTTAAAATCCACACTTTACTACCACAAACTCTGCTCTTTTCCTTCCCGCTCTAGCTCCGCTCTAGCTCCGCTCTAGCTCCGCTCTAGCTACGCTCTGATTGGTCAGAGCGCGGCCGAGACCCTCTGTGCACTTGCATGAGAGCCACAAATGCGTATTTGGCGCAACGCATCATGGGAGCTCGTCCACTGCGCAGAACCAGGAGGACCAGACGATGCCCAATTATAGGCGAGTTCCGCTAATCTTTCAGTCCCCGTGAAGTCACGTGCGCTACTGAGCACAAGCCATTCATTTGAAAAGGGCGCCATCTTGGATCTAGGGGCTTGGGTCAGTCTGATCCGCATACGTGTGGTACTGAAACAAAACTAGCTTCTTTACACTTTTGTCAACCTTCAACAACCTTCTAAGCCTCTATCAAAGTGGGACATACTGTGATAGACTTGAGAATCAAAGACAAAGCTAGGGCGTCCTATCCGTGCCGCGGAGCATTTCTGAGTTGAGTTTACATGTTCTCCCCGTGTCTGCTGCTCCATGTGCTCCAGTTTTCAGTCTCAACGGGACGACTGCCCTCAAGAGAGCCCTCGCGCCTCTGAAACAACTGCCTTGGTGCTTCTGTTCGTAGTAACACAATCAGCCAGAGCACTACCCTGGTTTGACCCTGGCCCAGACCCCAGAAGAAGGTCTTGTATATCCACGCGGCCATTTGAAAAGCTCACTCTTATTTTTAACTGTTCCAATCAGTATGCATGAAATTTGCCCTTTGGAGATGTCATTGCAAAGGCCTGAGAGGCAAGGAGCAGGGCAGAGCGGCTCGAGTTTCAGCCCAGATCTGCACTTCAATCAGCAGTAAAACAGAGAGCGGAAATTGGGATTTTCATTGTATATGTAAGAGATTGGGTGTAAAATATTTCATAATAGGTGTATTTCTTCTATAAACAGGCCGATGAATCGATTGAGTGATTTTGACGTGTTGTGGGACATCAGTAATCGGCCGAAATTTTGTAGACTTAAACATTATCAACAACATTATCTCACCTTTATTATAATTATTTTAAATTATTCCACTGATACGTCTCGGAAACATGGGGCTTGATGTGCATTTTTATCTTACTTTTTAAAGTACTGTGATTATTTATTATTATAATGCCTTGTGTGACACAGTGACGCAGTGACATAGGCACATTAGGGCCAGGGTGGGCCAAGGCCCGCCCACTTTTTTGATTGCCCAGGACCTGGCCCGCCCTGAGAAGGGCATGATTTTTCTCACCATTTTTTTATGATTGATACTTTTATTTACTCTTAAAAAAATGCTTAACATTGACATTCAAACCAAAGCCTTTAAATATGTATTAATAAATGTTCACACGCCGCGCCTCCTCCTCGCCTCCACGGCAGCTGCACGTGACCCTCATCTCTCTGCTGTGATTGGCTGTCTTCCTCCTGCACTTAAAATAGCGAGGCGCCAAACTCTACGAGTAGCTGCTGTTTACTTTCAGTAAAGTCCGTCTGGGAGCGCTCTCTGAAAAGTGATCAGTGAAGCCGTGTAGCCAGTGTCAAGAAACGCGTTTCCCCTGAGCCTGTAAAATGTGAGTAATCAGAGAAATTTATTATGGATCCATCTCCATTCAACAAATTTACAAAAGTCCTAATCAGTCACTGCACTGAAACTCAGGCTGCACACAGAGATAGAGACAGAACCGACTCCATTTGAAAAACAGGAGGTTTAAAGGCTGAAACAATACTTCCAGTGCTCCTCCACTCTGTGTGGCAGTCAGACTCTTGCCTTCTATATTGAATATTTTTTTTGCTTCTTCAATGTCACTGATGGGCTGTTCCCTCTTAGATGTGCGTGGCCAATCGCGCTGTTCTTTTGGGGTCTTATTATAAAACATCCATGGTCTCAACGCACAGAAAACTCTGTCCTGCACAAAATAATAACAGCGTCCTGTGCCGCACGAGCGAAGCAGCCGCATGTTTCTACAGTGTATGGACTGCGGTGGATCTGTGCGGTCAGGCCCCATTCAGAGTCAGAGTCATAGCTCTCTTTCTGTGACGATGAGGTTCACTGTCCGCGAGTGCGGGAGAAGTGCCCAATGCAGAAGTTTAAAGTTGCGTTTGATCCAGAACAGGGCTAGGACCAACCTCACCCTGCACACCGTGAACCACACATGCTGACCCGGTCTGGCCGTGGACTCGCGAGCAGTGTCTCACAAGCGCTACACCACACACACGCACACACATGCGGGGACACTTGAGTCTGAAGAACAGGAGTCCTGCTTACGTCTCTCTTTGTCCAAAGTGCCTCCATCACTTTGCTGTGGTTTTATTGTTAGAGATGATCTTTTCAATGATGTTAAGATTCAGTTCAGCTCAAAGGCCTGGAGTAAAGTTGGTTTGTGGCAATTTGACTATTAAGATAATAAATGTATGTGATTTGTTTTATGATGCGATATATATATTATTATGACTAAATATAATAATGTATACCATTTATTAAGACTCTAAAAGGTTAAATCCTCTACTGCCAAATATATTCCTAAATCTACTTTAATTCACCATCGTTTATACTGTAGCTAATAGCGCCTATCCACTACAGTCTATGCTGTTCGCTAAAAGCTGTCAAACCGAGGAGGCACGTCAGCTAGGTATTATTGATTATCATATATTGATCTTTCCTCAGGCAAAAGTTGGCCCGCCCACTTTTCTCCAGGCCCGCCCTATTCAACATTTCATTCAAACCAGGAAGTACATACACTGGCAAAATGATCTCTCACTGCCAGCCCATTTCAGAACAGGTACTCCCATATTGCCAGCAGTTTACAGTCTACTTTCATCAGCAAAAAGAATTTTGTTTCAAGCTTGTTTCGTTCCACTGTAATCCCCAGTCAATTAGAAGGAAGTTTTACTGAAATCACCAGTCTCAGACAAAAAGCTGAGAAAAAAAATTGTGTTTTCAAAACTTCAAGAGGCAGTGCAGCGCTGGTGCCACCTGGTGGCTCAATAAAATATGCTCTAAAGCTAATCCCCATACACATTAGATATAATAGACATCTGGGAACATGAAAATAGTGAAAAAAGCATTTGATGTTTTAAGACGTCAATGGCAGACAATCCACTATAACATAATTACTGGTTTTGTTTGATTTTGCACCTGTTTACAACCATGAGAGCCGAAGTTTATATCCACATGGAGTAATAGAGGCAATTTCTAGCATATTTTTTTACATGGACAACTTTATAAAGGAAAGAGCAGCCCAAACTCTGATGACAAGAGCTTCATTCACGGCTCCACGGCTTGTTGCAATGTCATTATGTAAAGTATTTTTCCTTGTGTGTGTATCTTTACAACCTTCTTCAATTGATACAAGCAACAGCATAGAAAACACTTTGCTTTTGTTTTAATTGTTGCAGACCTCTAAAGCTAAGAAAGAGCGGGCCTGGTTAGGACTGTGATGGGGGACCTCTCGGAACACCAGGTGCCACAGTGGGGCGGCTGTATAGTGCTTAACTGTTGTTGTGTCCTGAGGCAAGACACTTGACCCACATTGCCTAGAATGAGTTGGGTGTGTGTGTGAATGGTTGGTGGTGGTGGGCGGAGCTGATGGCACATACTCGTGGCTTCGCCTCTGTTAGTGTGCCCCTGGGCCGCTATGGCTATAGTAGTCGTTTATCACCATGTAGGGAGTGGGTAAAAAGCACTATATAAAACCGATGTATTATTATTATTATTATTATTATCATTATTATTATCATTATTATCATTATAATAGTGACAAGTGATCTGAAAAGTGGTTCCATTTGACAGAAGCTGGAGCGCTGGGTAGTTTTACCTCAATACTGAAGTATCCTCGGTCGACGTAGTCCCCGAGGAACAGGTAGCGAGTGTTACTGGGTGAACCTCCAACTTCAAACAACTTCATGAGGTCAAAGAACTGACCGTGCACATCACCGCACACTGTCGAGACAAACAGCGTTAACGTTAGAAACTTTAATTTTATTTTTTCAGACAACACAGACACCGAACATACACTCACAATATGTACATACAAAACAACAATGTAAAAAACCCACATACCATGCAATAGTAAAATAAAATATGCAAGCCTGCAGACGGGACAAATGCACAGTAAACAGGTAAGACAAAAGACAAAACAAAAAAGTACAGACAGAACACCTACAAGTCCTTGAAGTTTTTTCTTTTTTTTTTTTTTTTTACAGCCCATCTTATCAGAAAACCCACTATTACTCCTATTTAAAAGAAGACCATTTATGCAAAATTATATTGTTTTAAACCAAGATGTAACCTTGAGTGAAAATTTTACAAAGCATAAGATCACAGAGTACATTCCATTTTTTTTGGAGCAGTCTGGTTTAGCTGCTGTGGACTTCAGAATGCACTTGTTAAATGAATGGGGCTGGTGCCGGCTAGCGCATGCGCAAATGCGTTTTTGGACATTTCTTGCGGGAGGGACTGCTTGTGGCCATTTTGAAAACGCCCCATAGAAGCCAAAAGTCATCACACATTTCAACGGCACAGATAAGCGTGTCTACGTCTGTTCATATTTACAGTCTATGATATAGTTGCTGTTCTGGCACAGTGCCTGCGTGGTACTGAACGTTTCATTGAATGGAGGTGTTGTACTTATGTCAGACAAGTCTCAGATCTGCACCTGTGATGGGCGCGTCCACCTCCAGCATGCACTTCTCCTGCCGCAGGATGTTGGCTCCGTCGTTGATGATCTTCAGAGCCACGTCCTCCTCCACACGGCCCTCCTTCACCAAATGGTTCCTCAGCACCTCGGGGTTGGGCTTGCCATTCTCAAACAGCTCTTTGATGGTCAGCTTATGTTGGGGAGGGTATGGCACAGCTGGGAACACAAACACAGTGTTAGAAAGAGCCAAAGAGGAGAATTGTTGGTCATGAGTTGCCTTCATGCTGTGGTACAGTGGGGCAAAAAAGTATTTAGTCAGCCACCAATTGTGCAAGTTCTTCCACTTAAAATAATGACAGAGGTCTGTAATTTTCATCATAGGTACACTTCAACTGTGAGAGACAGAATGTGAAAAAAAAATCCAGGAATTCACATTGTAGGATTTTTTAAGAATTTATTTGTAAATTATGGTGGAAAATAAGTATTTGGTCAATAACACATTCAACTCAATGGAAGGAGGTTTTGGCTCAAAATCTCACGATACATGGCCCCATTCATTCTTTCCTTAATACGGATCAGTCGTCCTGTCCACTTAGCAGAAAAACAGCCCCAAAGCATGTTGTTTCCACCCCCATGCTTCACAGTAGGTATGGTGTTCTTGGGATGCAACTCAGTATTCTTCTTCATCCAAACACGACGAGTTGAGTTTATACCAAACAGTTCTACTTTGGTTTCATCTGACCACATGACATTCTCCCAATCCTCTGCTGTATCATCCATGTGCTCTCTGGCAAACTTCAGACGGGCCTGGACATGCACTAGCTTCAGCAGGGGGACACGTCTGGCACTGCAGGATTTGATTCCCTGTCGTCGTAGAGTGTTACTGATGGTAACCTTTGTTACTTTGGTCCCAGCTCTCTGCAGGTCATTCACCAGATCCCCCCCGTGTGGTTCTGGGATTTTTGATCACCGTTCTCATGATCATTTTGACCCCACGGGATGAGATCTTGCATGGAGCCCCATATCAAGGGAGATTATCAGTGGTTGAAATATCGTTTCAATTTGGGCTGTCTTTTATACAGATAACGAGTAACGAGTGAAGGACAGAAGAGCTTCTTAAAGAAGAAGTTACAGGTCTGTGAGAGCCAGAGATCTTCCTTGTTTTTAATTGACCAAATACTTATTTTCCACCATAATTTACAAATAAATTATTTAAAAATCCTACAATGTGAATTCCTGGATTTTTTTTTGTATTCTGTCTCTCACAGTTGAAGTGTACCTATGATGAAAATTACAGACCTCTGTCATTATTTTAAGTGGGAGAACTTGCACAATCGGTGGCTGACTAAATACTTTTTTGCCCCACTGTATATGTTGGTGCACCAATATATAAGTCACGTGACAAAATAACAACAAAATAAACCCAAAACGCAGAACCGCAAAAATGAAGGATTTAATATCATGTAAAGCAAAACAAAAACGAGAGAAAAAGATACCAAAGTTACATAAGAGGGCTTAAGGACAAGAACTAAAACTGACTTGGGAACGACAATGACGGAACAGGGTTTAAAACGACAGGAGAGACACATGAAGGAAGCGCTGGTAATCAGGAAACAGGAAGTAACACTAAGGAAGACGCAGGGGTTAATAAAATACAAAATAAAACACAAAATAAACCTAAACCATGACAATATAAGCATCAGGGAGTTTTGTCATATGGAATCTGCCAAGGCACTGGGATCAGGGCAGTCATCTCTCCGTCTGACGAGGCTTGGGGCTCAGGGTGATTCAAAAGTATTCAAAAGGTATTGAAAAGCTAGTATAAAACCTACATGCTAATTATGTGATAAAGAAGACAACATTTAGACAGATATCAGAAGAACTTGTATAAAACCTTTTGGCCTCATACAAAGTTATTACTATTTCAGCGGCGTTTCGAGTGCAGGCCACTCAAATGAAATGCAGTAATTTCTTGTTATTTTTTCCAAATATGCCCAAAATCAAGACTCTTGAGAAATATTTGTTAGTACTCCCTTAAAATTGAGTGTCCCCCTCCCGATAAAGACTGTTACAACAACGGTACATGTATCCATCTACATTATAGTCAGTTTAAATGAATTTAGCCTGCCCAGGGACTACAGGTGAAAATTAGCAGCTTTGCTATAACCTGGTACATGCATCTCTCCTTTGTGTTAATGTTTAATTGTACACTGTCCCTGCTCAAATAAAGTACATACCATTTCACAAGGCAACTCAACGTGCTGAACAAAACAAGGTAGGATTAAAATCATAAAAAATCCCATCATAAAACTGTTTTTAACCTGGTTTTAAACATTGTCAGACAGGAGGCCTGTCTCACATCTTCAGGAAGATTGTTCCAGATTTTAGCAGCATGAATCTGAAAAGCAGCCTCCCCATGTTTAGTCCTGACTCTGGGCACTAACAGGAGTCCAGTCCCTGTGCTCCTCAGAGTCCGGGCTGGTTCACATGTCACTAAAATATTTTGGAGCGAGGCCATGGAGAGACTTGTAACGAATAGAGCAGTTTTAAAGTCTATTCTCTGAGCCACAGGAAGCCAGTGCGGAGACCTGAGAACTGGACTAATGTGATGGTACTTCCTGGTTCTAGTCAGGACTCCAGCTGCTGCATTTTGAATGTACTGTAGCTCTAATGTGTTGTGCGTTCCTCATTCTTACAGTTCTGAAACTTGTGACGTAACCATGACACTTCTGGATCTCTTAATCCCATGCTTCTTCGCACAAACTGTTATCATTTTAAACAAAGTATACTTTAAAGATCTTGCACTTGTTTTATTCATGTACTGACATGGTGCACACTGGGGACTTTTGCGCATGTATTCCAATGGGGTTTTACTGCAAATGGTAATTAAAAGGAATCAGACTCTACATTTGTTTCAGCCTTCTTACATCCTGTACACCGCCTCTTTACAAGTTGACAAAACACTTTTATTGTGATACTCATTCAGCTCCAATAGGCGCGGAGGTAAGAGTTGTCACCGGGACAATCTGGCTGCGACTTTGGCCTGATGACCGCATCTTTAGAGGCGTTGAAGCGTTTTGTGCGATTAAGACAGAAAGCCTCAAAGAAACACGTTGCTGGGAGCGTGTCATGGCGCCCACACACAGCCAATCAAGGCGTCATAAAAGCAGATGACACGAGCGAGTGGGAGCCGCAGGAGGAGTGTGGCGGGGAGCTGAGGCCACGGAGCGCTCCACACAAACATACATCATGTGTCGCTGCAATAGTCAGAGGTTATTAACCAATCACAGGATGTCATTATCGAGGCCATTCGTGTCACTAGATAAGTTCTTTAGGGCTGGGAACTGGCAAAAATGTGATGATTCGACAGTATTGCGATATTCGGGTCAATATTATTGCGATAAGTATTGTGATTTGATTGTGCGATGTATTGTGATTAATGTCTCTCATATTATTCAAAGGCATTACAAAAATTGAGGAGAATTCAATGTCAAATTTATTATGGTTGGCATTAGTTAGTTCAGTGTTCCCCTTTTGTCATTGCAAAAAATCATATTGCATATATACTGAATTTGATACACAATAGAAACTCTACAGACTTTATTAACAAAGCAAAATCATTTTTATCTACTGTATGTGTTTTATGTAGCAAATCATTATTTTATTGACCAAATAAGTGGACTATTTCCAACACTAATAAACATCTCAAGGCACACAAACATGCCACGGCCCACTGGTTGAAAAACACAGAGTTAGTGTGAGATTTCATAACACTTTGAAGCAACTTTTGTTAAAGTTAAACTCATCATTCTATCAATGTGCAGAAGCCAGTAATTTTCCCTTGTTTTGTCTATCTGAAGGCCAAGCTACAAGCACACTGTAGCAGCTGCTGATTGGAGGTCTCCATGTCTCCGCTCTGTATAATACACTTGCATTCTCTGTCCGTGTTGTTCGTGCTGTCTCTACCATTGACAATAAAACATGTCTTCTGTCTGAATGAAAGACGCGATCCCAGACTTTGTCATCTTCTTCATTAGTTTTATTGTTTATTTTGTTCAGACAGTACTAGCTTGGTTGTACCACACCATAGTACAAATTACGTTTCGTACTAAGGTCTGGATTTGCTCAATTGAGCTCCTTTAACAGGTGGGAGGGGTTAACTTTTGCAGATTGAAACGATTGGATCGGAGTTTAGTATGTAATGCGCCCGAGTGAGTCGTCAGCATTTAGCCTAGCCAACTTCTTTGTTGCTAACGGAGCCCGTGGGGAGTAGCGCCACAATCTTCACCAGCGATTACATTTGCTAAACATTCCTCTTGCTCCGGCTTCAATTTCTTGATAGAACCAGACCGTATTACTTTACTATCGCATTCTTCGCCATTGCCAAACTACAACCTGCCCGTTCGCCGCAAACTCTTGACGTCACCCACAGCTAACTACAACACCCGCCTCTCACGCTCGCTGATTGGTCGGAAAGAATTCAACAGATTGTAATCGCAAACACAGAGACCAGACCCAGACGTTACATGCAGGGAAATCATGATTGAGCGGAGTGTACGGATGGATAAGGCCAGGCTAGGACAGTCCACGTTATTGAACACATCGCTCAGGATTGTACCCTGATTTCCATTCGTTGTCCCACAGTCGCACTCATAAAAAACACACTCATTCGCCCTGAACTATTGTATATATTTTTACTGATAGGGGAAACCGGAGCACCCAGAGGACACATACGCAGACACAGGGAGAACCTTCAAATTCCACGCAGAAAGGCCCTGTTCCGCCTGGGATTTGAGCCCAGGACCTTCTTGCTTCTTGCCTTCTTGCTACTGTGTGTACACCGTGACGTGTACAGGAACTGAAGCAAACGCTAAATATAACACTACTTTGCTCTACTGTATCGATTTAATTGTCTCTGCAAAATATCGCAATACTGAACGGAATTGATTTTTTCCCCCACAATTTTAATTATATGTATTTATTGTTCATCAAGTTTCCTGGAAAAAAACGTACGCAGACACGGGGAGAACATGCAAACTCCATACAGAAAGGCCAGGAGGTGGAATCGAACCCAATAATTACATTTCATCAAATTGTATATATCTTGAAGTTATGACCCAAACTTAGTATATAAAAACAAAAAAATACCATGTCAAAAATACAGTATATGCTAATCATCTACAGCTTCAACCGAGTATTGTATGTTTTTTTTTTTT